GCTGACTTCAAATCTGGAAAAAGTTTTCTTCTTAGATTCGCCGTTTTTCTGATATTTGCACTTTTATCCGCCAAATACGTCACAGCCAGGACTCGGGAATTTCCCGAAGCGGAAACAAGATTATCGCCAGGAGTTGTTAAAATTCTCGGTTGACGTCACAAGTGACATGTTAACAATGCCGTTGTAAAGGCTTTCACCGCAACGGTGAAAGTACAAGTGAAGTTTCGTGTTTTATTGAAAATAGTCCGCGGTGAAAGACAAAAAATTGTCAGGCATTTCATTTATAAGTATATAGAAGCTAGAAAATCCTAGCTACATGTCTGCTAAGACGCTTATATCCACATAAAATTTATTTTCATGCCATGATATCTTCGAACCAGCATGCTTTGAAACATTGAAAGAACCTCTAAGCTTGTGAAAAAAGGAGTCGACTTTGTTTGAAAACTGATACCGTTTCTTCAAAGTTTTTATTTTTACAATTACAAAAAAATCGCAACATGGGGGGTGGGGGGTTGAAGCAGTAGCCAAAAGACAAACGAAATCTAGTGGAGACAGCGGTAAAAGCGATCCTGCAACCTGCTTTGGGTGCAGAAATATGAATTCAAGAAAAAACCTTGGTTGATGGGAGCTGCGAGTGTGACTAAATAACAATTTCACTGAACTTGATTATTGTATTTTAACAGAGGTTGAGATACTAGGGAATAACCTAGTCTTGCAAAAAGCCCATCCCCCACCCAAGTCAAAATTGCTTGCAAAAGAATATAATGCGCCAGTTGATATTCCTATGACAGCTAAACAGCATTTTCTTCGACTAAGAAATCAAGTTTTTGACTAAGAGCTAAGAGCCTATTTCGTAAATCCAGATCTTTCGACTGCCAGGTAACTTATCAGTTCCCGAAACCCTTCACGCCGGGTGAAAATGGCATAAAATCCGCACAAGTCGACTTTTAACCCGCCTTTACTATTCAATATCACTATACAGTTAACGCGTTTAAAACATTGAAAAACAATCATAGAATGTTACATTAATTAATAATGAATAACTTGCAGTTCCGTTTAGGGCATCATGGGCATTTTAGCCAATTTAGGCCATACAGACAAAGCAGTCTGGCCAAAGACGCCTCAATCTGAAATAAAATTCTAGTTTTACGATACCTGATCTCATTTAGATTGTAGCAATAGCATTATTTTTAATAGAAATTCCATATCAGTTTGTACTTCCAGTCTGTTCTTTGTTTACAATATCGTCACTGTTGAGCCATGGGACGACTGTCTGCCCAAGCGGCATCGCTGGTTGGTAGCAAAAACTCAGACGGCTGAAACTCTCCATTTGTTTCGAAATCAGTGTAATAAAACTCCGATTCAGAGTCCCAAACTATTGAAAAAGTCAATTATGTGTCAAAAATGCAAAATTAGCTCTTTCACATGCACAAAATAAACATTTGTCCGCAGCATTTTGTTAAAGGTTTCTATAGAGAAACACAATACGTGCTGAGAACATGTCACTTGTGACGTCAAAGATGATCGTCCACTCGTGACGATTTTCGCCTCGAGTCTCAAGTTGTCGGAACAATTGTCGTTTCTCAACTTAAAACGCCTGTATTTCAAAAACGGTAACTGTGATTTAAAAAATTTTTTCGATCCTGGAATTTGCTTGTCACAAACTACCGTTTTAGCCAAACTTATTTTTGCGTGTCAGTTCTCCTTTAAAGACTTCCCATTTACCCTTTCCTGACCTCTTGGCAAGAAAAAAAAGTATCCCGTCAGCATGCTGGCTCTCCTAAAATCGGAGCAGCGATGTTTTTTCAGGTAAATGGGACTTAAATTAGCTTAGGTCTAGCCCTCCCTAGAAACGGAACTACAAAATATAAGAATGCTTCAATATATGCCAAATACCTATTTCTGAACGTGGCATGAAAGAAAATCCTCAAGTGGAAAAAATGAAAACAATTATTTATGTATGGGAAAAGCGACATTAAATGCTAATAGCCTAACCTGCCAATACCCTCCCCTTTTGATGCTTGATAACAGCTTTTTATGGTTAATTTACTTAACAGGACCAATGTGCACAACTGTCAGAGATGCAGCTCTATCGTATGGTATGTTTTGAATTTGAAAAACCTAACCTTTTGAATGTTTTCCTTTAAACTTCCAACTCATGTCAAGGCAATACCCGGCAAAGTCAAGAGACCCTCTTTTTGATATTCCGTAAGAGACATTGATATTCAGTTATCATTTGGTAGTTGCAGTTTCTTTTGCCGTTCTTGGTTGGTTGTTCTATTGCCGATAATTTTGCTGACAATTTTGCCGATAATTTTGCCGATGATTTTGCCGATAATTTTGCCGATGATTTTGCCGATAATTTTGCCGATGATTTTGCCGATAATTTTGCCAATAATTTTGCCGATTTTTCGTCTGACTTGTATTTTCCCCATATGCGAACCTTTTTTAATTGATCGCTTTTGCACAGCATCAGCTAACCTTGCTTTTGTTATTCATATATTTGCAATGGAGTCGTGGAGACTTAAAAGTTTTTTTTCTTTTGCAGCGTTCATGGCCGGTCCAGACCCGCGATTTCCTCCAAGTATGCCAATGTTTTATTTTCAATAAGGATTTGTAAAATTTTGATATGGTTAGAAGTTGAAATTTAATTTTATTTTATGTTCATTCTCAAATTAAACTTTGCATTTTCTCAACACCAGTTTGGATTTCGGCATCGTGGTGTATCGAGTAAATCCTTGCTCAGGGTCCAAAGCAAAATATGACTTGAACAAGGAAAAGGGCTGGGGGCTACATCCCAAGCAAAAATATTTTAGACATTGCCGAAAGTCAACGTTAAAGGCAATCGACAGAGGCTAAAGGGGCTTAAACCATCGTTCAAGCCAGAATTGACCAATCAGCGAGTGCGATTCAACTCACACGTTTATTGATTGGCTAATTTTGATTGGCAGATGTCTTAAGCCACTTTTTATCTGTCGATTGCTTTTAACACTACTACTGCTTAAGTTAGTCAACATATCTTCCAGTCGTTCGTGAACAAGTTTCCTTATCAGCTGTCATCTCTTATATATATTGCTGATTTATTGCTCGAAGAGCATTTCATGCATTTCAATATTTATAAAACATTACATCTTTGATTTCCTTACAGGCCTGGAACAGCCGCCTATCAGTTTAGATGGCTTTGACAATACTGATCTGACTGGAGTTCGAATCGGCATTGACTGGACTTACTTTAAGGTTTTGTTTCACACAAGTTGTTTTCTATACCTGCAATTTTGGACATAGCTCTTTATAGAAATTCCTGATCTTCTGTTGCTTCCTATAAAGTAAAACTTCTCTATTTCCCCATATGCTTATAGTGGCAGAAATATTCCTTTGTCCAAGAGATCAAATCACGATCGTTGCTTTTTTCTCAAATCAATAACTTTGCATGTTCACCGCTATCTCTCTCCAAGCAACCCTGCCTCTGTTCTTGTTTGTACCATTTGCTCTTTATTAGATCTTCGCTATTCCCAGTTCTCCCATAACTCAATAAGTTTCGTAAGAACTTAAGCTAACGTCCTGTCATCGATTAATTTTTTATGAAAAACTTCTTCTGAACAAATATGCATTGGAATTGTACACAAAAGAAAGTTTACTGTTGTGTTTACAGTAGAAAGTTTCCTGTAAAAAGTTTACTGCAATCTGTCTTTAGTTTCATGTACAAAACAAACTGGCACCTTTTTTCAAGAAAAGCTTCGATTTTTATACTTCATAGATCTGAAGTAGTGAAATCTTTAGAATAAATTGTAATTATTTTTGGCATCTTACTTCTGATTTGACTCGCGAATTTTTAAGTTAATTTTTATTGTTGTTTATTCCCAGCATGGAGATCCTTTTGTAGTACAACTTTGCTCTGAAGGTATGTATGTCTTACATTTGCCAAGGCATCATGAGGTTTCCTTTTCTTAAATTCTTTACCGAAAATCATTGATAAGGAACGCCTGCACAAGGAAAAGGTTGCGGATAGGGAGCAAACTTGTGAATGGGGCACCAAAATCTTACCACATATTCCTATTTTTTGTTTGTTTTTATAAGGGCACATTTTCTCTCGCTGTCTCAATGTTCCAATCATTTTGCTTTGGCTGTATTTGTAATAAGTGGCTGTATATATATTTGTAAGTTAAATTCTTGTACACAATATTGCATTTGAAAATTATTTTTGTCCGAATAAAAGAATAGCAAACTTACTGAATTTATGTTTTTAGAATAGATTATATTATACGATAAGATTCCACCTTGAGGCAATCACGTTCAATGGGCCTCATTGACTTGCCAAAAAATAAATCATGTCCCCTTATATTGACTTTTTATGAACCCCGTTTAAATATTAGTAACTATTTCGTTTACATTCAACTTTAAAAGGAATGATGGACGAGTTTGCTTGCCTGTGACGCACTTTAGCAAAGATGATGACCGAACGTCGCTTTTCCACCAAGAATAGACAGAACCTTCTGACTAAACCTCCAAAAGAAAAATGTTTTCTGTTTTTAGCTAATGATAAGCAAATTTTTAAATAATTTGGTGCTTTTTGTGCAAATTTCTCAAATGCAAATTTGTACAAACCAATTTTTTAAGATTCTTTCCAAGTACGATTTTCTTAACATCTGTTAAGATCTTCTAAGCTCCCTCTCAGGAAAGCCTGCCATTCTTCATGCAAAGCAATTCATGAATGTTTGCTTTCAAGGAGGAATTTTATTTGAGTTTTACAATCGTGTAAATGTTTACCCTTTTTAGCTGTTAGATACCTTGAGGAGGAGTGTAAAGCGGAGGTAGTCAGCATAAACATTCCAGAGCTTGAGGTATGCTAAATCCTTGTCAATAGTTTCCTTTAATGTTGTGTAAATATAATGTATCTTTTACAAACCCAAGCATTGTACTAAATTATTTGCTACGATAAAATCAGTTCCACTGGTACTCGTAAAACCAGCAGTGTTTTTGCATTGTTGTATATTTAACTGTTTGGTGGTGAGTGTGCTTAGCGTTCGTAAACCCACAGCAGAAAATGCAAATGTGTGAAACCCATAAACACAGATTTTGAGACCAGTGATAGGCCAATGATAAAAACATCGAATCTGTAACACCAACACCCGCTCACCATTTGTCAAACATAGCCCTGGATACAAGTCCTAATTGTTGATCTATCTACAAAAATCTGTGCCATCCACAAAAATACTTTCCTTTCTTTACGTTTGATAACGTAGTTTTGACGTATATTTATTTTAATGTTGCAGTATTCTTAACACTGACAAGATCTTGAGGTGTAATTTTTTTGCATTGTTGCATATACTTGCCATGACTCTTGACATTCGATCAATGTGATGAAATCCTGTTAGATTTGACAGCCAGAATTAACTAAAAGTGAGTTAATCTTCGCTTTCAAATATTATTTTTGCTCTTCCTGAACAGGAAACTAGAATTGCCCACTTTATAACCATAACTTCGGAGATGGCTACCTATGGAGTCAAAATGCGAGCAGAGCATATCGATGAGCTGGTAAGTGTTATCATATAACCCTGAACTATAAAACCCATGTACTAATTGTATTTATCTGATAAAATTTGCAACAACGGCCAGAACTTCCCAGCTTGAGTCTGAGTCTTCCATACTTGAGTCTGAATGTGAACTTTTCACCTTCAAAGTTGTAATAAGCATTAATGGCCAGTCGAAAAACAAATTAAAGCTCGAACATCCTTCATCTCTTTGTCATTGACACAAGTGAAATTGTATTGTATTTTATTGTTGTCTTGTTTGCTACCTATCATACGAGGGTAGTTTTAGGACACTGAAAAGCTATGCTTATTGAGCAGCCTCCCGGTCCTTCCTCTCAATGTGACCACACCTCGTGATTCCTACACCTTGAATTACAGAGAGCTGGCAACTCCCGGGTCTGTAGTCGGCGACCCTAACTATTGCGCCATCCTTGTACAAAGGCTATTCTTTTGATAATATCTGCACTCAGTTTGCAACGAATGACGTCATTTTTATCCGATCCTTTATTACTAGATGCATGATTGTCAAGCTGTATTCAATGTAGCTGACTGTTTTACAGCTCGAGATTATATTGTGGTGCGTATCTCTTTAAACCCAGTTTATAATAGATATAATTAACATAATTACAACCAGTTCATAGTTAAAAATGATTTATCAAACTCAACATCAAATGTTTTGGCAGCTATCTGACTTACTTGTTTCAACTTACACGTTAAAGAATCAACTATTTGTTTGTTTTTTTTTATTTTCCTGTTGTTTATTTTCGATGTTCGAGTTAAGCTGGTTTTGTAACTATATGATTTCAGCGAAAGTACCTAATGTTGAGTATGGTTCCAGCACTTTGTGGATCTATCAATTTTATCGCCAAATTGGACTTCATTTAGCAAAAAAAATCGTAACCAAGCAATTTGTTGCTTAGAATGATCTTGCTAGATATCAGAGTTTATATAGTATTCGAATTTTCTTTTAAAGCTGCAAAAACAGGGAAAATATTTTTGTAATCTGTTATCTGTACTTCTTGAATCTGTATTTTTGTAAAAGATTGGGATTATTTATTTTAAAATGTTGTTAAATAATGTTTTTTATTTAAAGATGTTAAAATCATGTATTGGAAATCTTAGCCTGTATTAACATGTTTTAAGATAAATTTTAAAATTACTGCAGCCAGGGTCATTAATTAATTTTATCGCTACACTTTTGAAATGTTGCTACTATTTGACCTTGGTTTCTTTTATTTCAATTTCTGATATGTTTTATACGAAACCAATTTTACAGGCACAGAAGCAGCGAAATCGTGCTATGATGATATTTGAAAACCTGTTCACGCGTGTTGATGTTATTTTGACGCCTAGTAAGTATACGACGATCGTTTGCTGAGGCTGTACCACTCACATGTAGGCTGCTTCAAGCTATTTTTTCACAGGACCCATCACCTCGCTGGTTGCATAGTTGCTAAGGACAGGAACTCCTTTTAATATTAATGGAAAAATATCAAACAAATTACCAGAGAGCTGGAGCAATTTGTATATATTTAAATGAAATAAGTTCTTGCTTGGGTCCCAGCTGATAGGATTTTAAATATGATTTTTTTCTGTTACTCTCACCATATTTACATCTTTTCATATCGAACTGTTGCAGATAGTTGCTATCCTCACCAATGTGGTTCCCACGCTTCGTCTTTATTTAAATATATTTTCTGTGCTTGTATATGTCCACTAGACCATATAATTTTTCTAAGTCCCTCTTTTAATGTCACAGCGTAAATCTTCCTTTTTATAGCCTTACCAATGGTGATGCCAAAAATTGAGCCAGGTGCACTCAAGACTGGCCTTCTTGATGCCGGTCTTACTGGAAAAACTATGAGGTAGGAGATAGGGTATTCTGCTTTTCTCAAAGTCTTGCATTTTCATTACCATATTTTCATCATTCTGCTAACGGTTAAACCTGGTCAACTATTTTCTTAATGTCAACAGTTTTTTGGCGGTACAAAATTTGAAAATGGCTTTTAAAAAAAGCAAACATTTTACTGCATGCTGAAAGTATTCTCGTCTGACACTCCTTAGAGTATAAAACGTCGAATTAAGGTTCTGAAAGGACAAGACGGAAAAATATACCCAGTTGTGGATCAAAATAGGCTAATTAGAAAAACGCGATCACATGACGTGTGTAGTTGACCAATCAGTACCGCGTATTGGACATCGGGACATTTTTTAACTTATAAATGTACCGTAAATAATCGATTTTGAAAAGTAAGAATACTTTTACTGTACAACTACAATCTTTCAAAAAGTTTTAATTGTATTTTCTTTGAAATTGAACAAAGTCCCTTTAAAACAGATATTATGCAAACCCTATGAATGTTAAGAGATTAACATATGATGTTGATAATTGTGTTTTTAATTTTTCTTTATTTAACAATTCAAGTGTTGCATATACTTTAAACATTGATATCGATATCTTTGATTAGCGGGGTACGCCTTTTCGAAGGGGTCTACTCTCGGGGGGGGGGGGGGGGGGGGGCAACTAAGCCAAATCTTGGAGGGGGACGTGCCATTTTGGTTAAAAAATTTGGACCCATAATTCCGCACATGTCTGAAAAAATGTAACCCATAATTCCGCAAACATGTTGAAAACTATACCCATAATTCTGCAAAGCAAGTAACATTTTTAAAGCACAACAAAATCATTAAACAAATTTTGCTTGTCCTTTGCCCCAAAATCTCAATATTACACAATTTCATACTTTCATTTCTAACTGAACATTCATTTTGTTAATGCTAAATCACCTCCTAATTATTTTGCAATATTTTCCCAAAGTGGTACCCATATTTCTGCATGTTTCTTCAAATGGTACCAATAGTTTCGCAAATAGTTCAAAAACTGATACCGCTAGTTCCACACTTTTCAGAAAAAAGATACCACTAGATAATTGCACGTCCCCGTACCTTCAAGCATGTTAAGGTACCTTCCCCCCCCCCCCCCGAGGGTCTACTCTCTTTTTCAAGGCGGCACTTTTCTTGAGAGTGGACGCTTTATCGAGGATTTACTGTATTAACACTCTTAATAGCTTATTGTAACTTATGTAAGGTTCTCATTTGCATCAGATATCATTTGGTGGTAAAGAGTAAATCACGCTTTATCATATCTAGATTTATCAGCATTTGTATTGGTTTTCAGGTATATGTTCCATGGAAATCTAATCGGAGTTCCCTGCCTTACCTTGCCAGTTGGATATGATGATAACAATATGCCAGTAGGCTTGCAAATAATGGCCAACTGGTGGGATGAAGCCATGATGTTTCGCATAGGTCATGCCGCAGAGGGGTACCTGAAGGTAAAGAATAGGCCTCAAGTATTCTATGAACTTCTTTGAACAGCAGTGATTCAGATGTTTTTAATATTTGTGTTCTGATGCCTCTAGGCAGTATTGTGTTTGAAAATTAATCTACTGCGGACATTTCCTCATGATAATGTTTTTATTCCCATGTGATTTTTCAGCTTTTTCCTTACCCACTTAAAGGCTCTTCCGCAACCGGCATGCTTTTTGTATTTTCATGCAGTGCGATATTAGGCGGGTTGTGAAAAAGATAGTCGCAAAGCATGCCGGTTGTGATTATGAGTTTGAAAACGTGAAGCTCATATTCGATTCTATGGAAGTCCCTTGAATCCAAATAAATTTCAAGGTCACCTTTTTTACGTTCACGCATTTAGATGCTCAACTCTCGTACTGTTTTTGCTTATAATGGGATGAGTGAAGGGCCTCCTACTCAAGCTTCAAATTTTAATAGTTGAATGTGAGTCACGTACCCATAAAAACCCAAAAATAACATTTCTTTTTAACCAAATTGATAGAGCTAGTTTCAGATTTTACAAAAGCTGCGAGCTGTTGTATGTAAACCCAAGCAATGTATGCGTGAAGTCATTTTGTAGAAACCAATTCGATACAGATCTTGTAAAACTTATTCACCAGATCTCTTGATGAATGATTGAAGTTTTTTTCATTTCCGATTTACTTTCTTGAGTTTACTTTGTATTACGCATTATTGATTAAGCGTATCGCTTAAGGTAATGCAGTGATGATGTATTGACGTCAGCAAATATCTGGTGGAAATTCCTTTCCGTGTACATTACAGCGTGCGCATAATCCGTTTTTGAAACAATTTGAATCCTTTTTTAAATAAGAACTAGTCAATTTTTGCCGAGGTTCAATATTCTTATTTTTTTTGGAGAATTTAGTGTCGGGTGTTGTTAATGTTTTTCTTATTTCGGCATTGATTTTTCTACATTTACATACTGTAAATTATTTCTAAAGTATAACATTAATTTTGGTTAATAGTAAGATAAAATTTTTTTGCATAACATTGTTAGCAACACAGTTGATCGGCTGAATAAACTGGCCCTGTCATGGGAAAATCCTTAACAACATTTTTTTCTAATTTTTCAGTTAGGGGTGGGCTTTTTTTCCCGTTGTTTTTATTTATTGCCAAATCGAGCCTCGGTGTCTTTATAAAGTGTGCTGCTACTTAAAGAGGAGTTCATAAAGTTCTTCTGGCTAAAGAATTTACTATGTACGCATGCTAAGAAATTGCACGCCTAAGCTAGACTTACAGCATTGGCGTCTAGTATCTTGAACATTATATATAACCTTTTGATCATACACCTTGAAGCCCGTTTGTCCAAGGAATACTGCACCCATCAGGATATTTAGGTCACACAAAGTGCCCCGTTTTCACCTCAGTATGTTTGTTTACATCCGAAATTGCCTTTCCGGCTACAAAGCAATCCTTTTTAGGGTGTTTTGTATTTGTACTTGCTACCTGGCATCCGAACGTAGTTTTTAGGACACTGAAAAGTTGTGCTTATCGAGCAGTGTCCTGGTCCTTCCGCTCGATGTGACCACACCTCTTGATTTCTACGCCTTGAATCACAGAGAGCTGGCGACTCTCCTCACATGGAGGGGAGGGGGAGTTTGCTAGGAACTTGAACAACAGAGCCTTGGATCTGTAGTCAGCACCTCTAGCCACTGAGCTATCCTCATACCTGGGGTGTACTGGGATCAGTGTCGGCAGGTGAGACTATGGTCTGCATTTTCCAAAAAAAATATTTTTAATACAAGAAAAATGCAAAACTACGTCAAATTTATTCTGAACATTTATAATTTACAACGATTAATGTTGCAAGTGCCGGACCTATCCCTTCCTGATCCTGCTCTTCTGTAGATATCTGAAGATGCCAATTGCCCGCACCTGCAAATTCCCTTACCCCTTCTCATCATCATGTAATTTTTATATCTAAATCTAAATTGATTCTTTAAAGAAAGGTTAATACGTTCATATCATTGTAAAGTTTTGATAAAAACAAGCTTCCTCTTCTTTTCATAACTGGCTTGTAGTGGCTGATATCGATTTCCTTTGGTTCTAGCGATAATGCCAAAAATCCAATAGCGATCCAATTGATCTCCCCTCCCCATTTCTCGTTCTGTATGGGCGAGTTGCACGTTGCACAATGCTATAGACTCAACGTCGAATGATTGCAGTAAAATAAGCCGAAACTTTGTTTTTTACTCAATGCAAACCGTTGAAGTTTTCCTATTCGTTTATTTCATTCATTGTGATGTAAAATGTGAAATTAATCTAGGCGGTATCTGTTTCTTCACCGTTTTTTGACAAACAGAGCAAATATTGCAGGTTAAGCTTGAAGAAATTATAGTACATATAATTGACTTGCTTAGACCATGCCAATCGATTTGCAATTCTGCTGAGTAAAGAGCAGGTGGCAGATGTTTAATTGGCATCTGTGCTATGCCAATAAATTGTCTGGACTTCGACTTATTCCAGTTTTAGGGTTCAGGTAGTAGTTAATATAGGAAACGCAAAAGCGATGCTGCTTTAAGATCTGAATCTGTATGACTGATTTATCAACGATAAGTCTGTGCAGGTATTGTGTTATAAGTTATTTTCAGTAAAATTGTTTGGAAAAAAGAGGTTTTCCGAACATTCAGGATCACATATTTGCGAATGATCAATGTGTACAAACTGCCGCAATATTGTTTAAAGGAGCGATATTGCGCTTCAAGGAGGTGAGAGGTGCTACGTTTTACTGCCAGTGTGAAATTTCAGAAGGCGTTTCCAAGACCTCAAACATTTGGAAATCACATCTTGTATGAGTATGGCAGATACTATTTGGATAATACTTGCAATTGACGTTATTCCAGCCCTATTTACCGTTATAGGCAATGCCGTTTTTTTCATCACTTTTCTACGAACACGATCTTTGCACACGCCCTCGAATGTTCTACTCTGGTTCCTCAGCCTGATCGACCTGGTGGTAGGAACAGTGTGTCAGCCATTATTCATTTTCACTTTATTTAAAGAGCATGGTCCTTGCTGTACAGTTGCTGTTAAGATATACAACATTGTTTTCGGTTTGACGTGCTGGAATTCTCTTGTTTGCGTCGCACTAGTGACGATTGATCGCTTTCTCGCCATCTTCTTTCCATTTCAATACAAGGAAAAGGCATCGTGCAAAACGGTTGCTTGTATCTTCCTGTTCGTCTTCGTTGTTAGCTCCATGTATACTGTCTTAGTGATGATATTTTACGAAACAGCGAGGATATCTTTCATTATATTCGACCTGGTATTTCAATTGCTGATTCTTGCATTGATTTTGGCTGTATATGCCTCGATATACCGTGTGATGTTTCGACTAATGCGATCCACGCAGCCACAATGTAGGCCCAACTCGAAGTCTGTGCAACAGTCGCAGATAGTGGAACGAAAGAAGACAATCACCCTGTCGATGATTATTGGTGCCTTTTTGATTTGTTATTCACCCTACATAGCATATTCAGTGAAAAGTCTTCTGTATTATCTAGGGAAGACTGGATTTTCAAGCAGCTTTGGAATGTGGGCAAACTTTTTCTTCTTACTAAAAAGCAGCATCAACCCACTCATATACTGCCTGAGGAGGAATGATATCAGGCAAGCAGCTTGCCGAGCAATCAAGTTGCATACACCCAGCAGCAATTTAAAATCAAAAGAAACAACTTTTTGAAGTTCCTCAAAGGCATTTTGGTGGATATGACATGTTCAGTGCCTCTTTCTGGAATCAACAGATGTGTCTATAAATAACATTCTCGTCTGTCTCACACCACAAGGATCCGAAATTTACCAGACAGCTGTGAAGACGAAAGTGACAACATATTCACATTTCAAAGAGCTTTCCAAAAACTATAACCTGGCTTCCATAACCTTTCCAAAGCACGATTCTAGTCAAATCGAAAATTGGATATGTTTAGTTATCGGAAGGTATTCTGGAGACAAAGCACTCCTTTGGAAGTACAGCACGTTCACAAAAGTGCCAATGACGTTTTGTACATACCGGTTTGACAATTACAACGAGTTTACTCCAAGGGAAGAGATCTTTTTGAGAATTTCCTAAAGCTTCCTCAGGAGTATGACTTATAAGAAATATCAATGTATGTTTTTTTATCTAAACAAAACTTTAAAACAACGAAAGAAGATGAAGACGTGGGAAAGTGGTCGGTTGCATTACTGATAGAACTATACGCCTTGATTTGTTTCCGTGGTGATCTGTTAGTGTAACACTTCTTCATCTTACGCTGCTCAAGGAAAAAACAGATGTATTGACACTTGTGATTGATAATGTTTTGGTTATCAATTTATTTAGCAGACTCTTGTAGAAATTGTCCTACTTACACAAGTCACCGTCATTGCTTCTCTATTGAGTTGTTTTGAATCTATTTGAAAGTTTATAGTACAAATGGGAACAGATTTCACGGCAGCAAAATGCCAATAAGGTCAGGGACTGCGGAGCAGGGTTTGCTAAATGGTCTCGGCCATTTTTGCAACGTATCACTTTCAGCTTTAAAGTGTCTGCAGATATCAGTATATCTGATTTGCTACCTAATTATAAAAACAAACAATTGATCGTCAGAACCAATGATCTTCTCATGACATGTTCTCGGACATCGTTGATTCCCGTTGCTTCGATGTCATTTGGTGTCGCTGATAGTTATAGCTCGTCTCTCGATTGGTCTTATTGACATTTGGGCGTACGAGGCTGCAAACAATGTCATGAGAGTCTCGGTTGAGAACTTTTATCATTTAAGTAGTTTTCAAACAATTTTTAACGGTACAGAAACTAAAAATGATTTCGAAGATCCGAACACTTTTAGACATACGAGGGCTTTTCGTCTGGTATAAATCGACTCTCATTCTGATGTTTGGTACGTTTAGGAATGTCAGATCAAAAGATTAAGCATCTCTGAACATATTTTATTAAGCCATTTTTGGTAGTTTCTAGAGAAAGTGTCATCATGCTTACCTCATAGTTTTGGTATGCATGTCAATGCCACGATAATGCCATGAAAGTATGCCCTTACACAGTATTGGTGGGCGATAGAAGCCGAAATGTTAAAGCAATGACGCATTGAGGAAATTTAGTTGTTCAGGTTCCGTTGAATCTAAGATTTATTTTAACAATTAAACCTGCGAATGTGCATGCAAAATAAAGAAATAAACTGTTCATATATCATATGCAGCAGTTTGACACGAATCCTGTTCTTCATGCTTTCAAAGGCATTCATTCTCCCGTGTTTAGACAGCCTTCAGACTTACTTGAAACGTCCATTAAATCTTTGAGAATTATGCCTCAAAACGCTACACATGTTTACGCAGTTGCTGCAAAGTATTGACAGTCCCACCCATCGTTTGCTTAGGTGGCCTGGTACTGTGACCATACCGTTGCATTTCACACCAAAAGACCGTCTGGATTGGACGTACGAACGGATCTCTACACAATGTCATAAGCTCGTTCTTCGTCATAGCCAGATCTAGCAAGTGATCGAATAGTCGAAGTGTCCTGAATAATATATTTTGTACTACTTTTAATTTTAAAGAGTTTTAATTTCACGCGTAGCAAAGACTGGCAACAAAAGTTAATGGAAAACACACTGCTGTCTTTAAAGTAAAACGCCAGCCAATCTAAGGAAAAGTTTTCAGACCAAATATTCAAACAAGAGAGTCGTCGATATATTCTAACGATGGAAAAGCAGCAGAAATAGATTTCGAAAGCCATTGACTGAATTCAAGACCGAAAGCTGTCCCTTTTTTGCTGTTATCAAAGACTTGTATCCGAGGTGATCATAGCAGACTTTGATCGTCATATTTTCTGTCATTTTAAGTGGAAATGTCATTTCCAACTAAGTGGTTGATACTTGGGCTGGATGGCGCACCGGCAATTCTTACTGTAATTGGAAACGCCATATTCTTCGTCACGTTACTGAGAAGTCCCTCACTCCACACCCCATCAAATTTTCTTCTTGGTGCATTATGTGTCACAGATCTTATTGTTGGATTCATATGCCAACCTTTGTTTATCGTTGTACTGATTGGTCCTAAAGGACGTTGCTGTTCGACTGTCATAAAGGCCTACAACCTTATTTTTGGCCTAAGTAGTTTGAATTCGTTTTTATGCGGCCTACTTATAACATTGGATCGATACGTAGCAGTGTTTCATCCTTATACATACCGAGCTTTCGCCAGTTGCAGGAGATATGCATTTGTGACAACCATCGTTTTCATTGTCTTTGCTGGATACTCAGCGCTTAAGATACCGTATTTTGAACGGTCAAGAATGTCCTTTCTTATAGTGGATATTTGCATCGAATTCTCGGTGATAGTCTCTGTGCTTGCCATCTATGCGCTGTTATATCGTGTTGTATTTGCCAAAACACAGGCCGATCTATCGGTGAGACAAGTTGTCGGCACGAGACAATCTGACATAAATAAAAGCAGGGCAAGAGACCAACGGAAGACAAAGACTGTTGCTATCATTATCGGAGCTTTTCTGGCTTGCTATACCCCTTTAATGGTATACTATGTTATGGGTTTGTTTTTCTATGAGAATATCAGCCCATCTTACCCATATCAACTCGGGCTATGGTCAAACTTCCTTGCGCTTTTCAACAGCTGTGTAAACCCAATGATTTACTGTGCAAGGAGCAGCGACATTAGACGAGCTGCCCTTCGTATGTTTCACAGAAATGCGGTTTTACCACATCAACATGGCTTTGGTTTGAAGAATACCGCATCTAGTATAGGTTAAACTGCCAGAGAAGTATTTTTGATCACGTAAGGATGCAACAGATTCACTACACTCTAACAAAAAGAAAACACATATAATATTTGAGTATAAGATTGCAAATTTTATCAATATGCACGTGCACATTAGATAACGTTTAAGTAATTCTAACGCCTCATAATCAAATGCTTTTTTCTGATTAACCAATAAGGCTCAATCAACAAATAAATTGTTCATGGTCAAATTTCAAATTTTGAGTATGTTGATATAAATTGTAGGGTTAGCAGGGGTATCGTAAGTTCTCGAATAAGCCCCCATCTTCGAATAAGCCCCCATCTTCAAATAAGCCCCCATCTTCGAATAAGCCCCCATCTTCGAATAAGCCCTATCATTAGGTAGTTTTTGTGAAATAAGCCTTCATCCTCGAATAAGTCCCCGTGGGCTGAGGTATTGCCTCTTCATCAAGAGGTTTATCCCAGTTTATCTTCATTATTTAACATTCTGAACAGCCTCAAATAGAGGAAGAAAATTTAAGCCCCTACCTTCGAGTAGGCCCTCGCCCCTCGAATAAGCTCCCACCCCGAGTATTTTGTGAAGTAAGCCCCCAGGGGCTCATTCGAGTACTTACAGTAGTGAAGTAGGGGCAAAGTGGCGTTTACATAGCAAATGCTTATAACAGATCTTCAACCCACATTCTTCGACAGTACTCTGGAATTTTTCATATATTTGTTCAAAACAAAAGCTGTTAACAAAGAGTCTTTATTTTTTCAAATTTTGACTAGAAAATGCTACTACGCGTGCGCTTGAACTACACGTAGGGGTTATGCGCAGATGACTTCAGACTTACCTCACCTCATCTCCCCAGTTGGTAGCCATTACGTCACCAACAGGCATTAGGTAGAACCTTATAAGACAGACAAATGAAATCAAAATGACATCGTTTGGTGACATTTGTGTGTTTTTAGACCCACTCTTCAATTTCAGCCAATTTTACTAACCAAGCCAAGGCATCAGAGAAAACCTTTAGCCAGCGTAGATCTTATCGCCAGAAATAACGGTTCTGTTTTGAAGACAGCTTCAAAAGTACAATAAATCTAATTATGAAAGGCTTTGAAAAATTGAGCCCCCCCCCCTCCCCTACCTTAGCCTGATACCTAGCCTCCGATTTCAAAAATATCATGATTTGAAATCGGAGTCTGGTCATCAGACTGCCCCCACCTATGAATAGATTGTTTTTCTCTCAATCCTGATCTTCATGTCGTCACTTTAATATCTACTTCTGATCTTTTACGTTAGTTATCGTAGCTTTGTTACATTTGTTTTTTTAGTGGTAAATGCTTTTCATTTCCAGTTCTTACTGGACAGGAATTATTCAACATTCTGTCAATTTTATTGAGCTTGCGACTGCAGATATTTTGCCACGATGAAGAAAAGCTTTTGACAATTAATTTCTTGTTACATTTTTCGGTGCCTCGTCGTTAGTTGTTTATTAATCAACATATCATGTATGTAGATAAGGGGAAAGAAACACCTAAAAGGGAAACAATTCGAAGGGGAAGTCATTGGCTCTACCAAATAATAGAGGAAGCGAATTCAAACTTTTTGACGTGGCTGCTAACTACACCCATTTTGCTTTGTAAAAAACCGTCTGTGAAAAATCAAGCCCTGCTATAACCTACAATTAAAAAAATCACATTTTGATCACACTAAAAGTAACTGCTTCAAAGTCCTTCTTTTAAAGATGGGTGGGGGCGATTCTATCCGACGAATAGATACCTATTTCCTGTTTAATTGACATTAAAGACGAGCTCTTTGTGACTTATAAGGTCTATTGCCTGATGTTATCTCATATAACACTTTGTGTTTCTAAGATATAACTCTGAATCATTGGTATTTGAGAAGCCAACTCTGAAAATGCTGAAACTAACAAACAATAAAAAACCGTGTACTAATGCCGAGCGAGAAATTGTGTGTAAAAATGTCTTTTCCCGTGCAGCTCTTTATTTCAGACTGTAGGCTATTGCCTATCTTTATAAGGAGAACATTTGACCTTCCTCCATTTTAGTCCACCAAAAAGCCATGGTACACGTTTCTTATCACTAGTAATCCTAATTGATGCAATGGTTTTTAAAAGGCTTTGAAAATATGAAGGTCGCTATCACCAGATAGCACCATGAATGAAAATTTGAAAACATGGATTTCAATTCATTTTTAAAATCAACATATAAAGGTACCTTGCAGGAAAATGCGAGGAAAACGCATGTTTAAAAGATTAACGTCCACTTTTCGCGTTTTTGAGTAAACACTACTTCCAGTAAATGCAAACTTCGCTGGTTGGCAAGTGAGTTCAATGATTTTAGATGAAACCGGCATATTCTTTCCTTGAAGATGAAGGCTTTTTTAGACATTAGAATGGTTTTCTTTGCTTGCATTGTTTCCTTGCTTTCAAAGAGCTAATTTCGCAGCAATTCCGTTTCATGACTTACCGACGTCTGCATGAAGATCGCTTTGTATAAAAGATATCATAAAATTAAAAATTTTGTATTTCAAAACTTGTGTATTTTAGAGAAGCTGTTCATTCTGTTCAAAAAATTTTACGATGATAGTGAATAAATTTTCAAGGAAAATTAGGCCTAGCTTGTCAAATTATCGTCAGTAACAGATAACAGATACTTCATCTTAATTTTTTGATGTGGTTGCTTCGTATTGTAAACGATAGAAGCTCGATCCAGTCTTTTTTTCAGATCAGTGGTTGAAGCATTGCGCTTCTGCGAAGGAGATGTTTCTCCTCGGGGTCTGGAAACAACAACAAAAGACCAAAATGGAACAGGTAGGTACACATTAATCTGCACTTGTGATTTCTTTTAGAGGAAAAGAAACAAATTCCTTGTTGTTCACGATTTTTTTCGCTTGGTTGCTAAAGCTTACATTCTGAAAGAGCAACTGCATATTTTTATTGTACTACAGAATACAAATACATATTTTGATTCACCGGAAGGATCGCGCCATCTTGGATGGATACTACTATAACAGTACTATTCCTTCTACCCTGCTACAATAAAGGTCCTAGTTCAAAACTTATTTTAAAAAAACTTCTTGTCATTTACACTAAATGCAAGTTAAGTTGGCAGATCATAAAAAAGTTCCAAAACAATAAATATCAAACATTTGACAATAAATCGCCAAAATACACTAGTCCACCCTCCTCTGTTATCATGTCTTTCGGTCTTATATTTTTCACTTATTTATCTATCTACCTATACAATAATATACAACAATCAATTGTGGTTATTAAATACATAATTCAGAGCAATGCCTTATTCAATACTTACTCTGAAACATAATAGGAAGGGAGGGGGTAGAAAATTTTCCTTAAAAATAACCATAAACATTGATGTAAATGAGTGGATAAAGAACGAAGGGTTAAAAAAAAGGAATGTATGTAAAATAATGGGGACACAAAAATTGGCATCCATGGACAACAATTAAATCATTCAGAATTTTGGTATACAATTATCTGAAAATTTGACCATGTTTTTTAGATATATTAACATAAAAAACTGTGACAATAATTTGGACTGGACGAGTTTCTAAACACTGTCATTCCCGCTAAAGTTTTTCATTTTTCCAGCAGAGTAAATGGTCAGTCAGATGTTATAGCAAGACAACTTATTAATTTACAATGTCATCAAAAACTGGCAAATCGGAAGACAAAGAGGCATCTTTGACTCCCAGGAGAATTCAAGCAAGAAGACGCAGCAGATCAAGAGTCAGTGCTTCTCCTGGAAGAGGCCCACTTAATAATGGGTTAATGAATGCAGCATGGCCTAAAACTCAAACCTATCGACCAACAAAACCTAGCTCTTCAAAGACATCTGAGCAGCAATGGATCTCAAAAGGAAAAGTTCCACACTCATCTGATCAAATTGAGGAAATGGAGGTTCATTAAATCATTTTATATGTATCTTTTTAATCCCTTTTCATTTTAAATTTGAGATAGGATTTTTCATTGGACAAGTAGAATTGTATTGCATGAAATAACACACCTTTAAAACAAAGCAATTGAATGCAAGCCTCTTGCTATAAATGAATTGTAAAAGTGTGACTTTCTATGTGAAAGTTGAATATCATTGCAACATGCTTAAAATATCACAATAATATTCAACTTCCGTGAGCAAAGTTGTACTTTTACTACATGTATTAATTTGTATTTGTTATTATCTTGATGTGCAACTCAAACTACATTTATTACCAACTCTTATCTCCAAAGAGCTGCTCATAACCCAGCTTGTAGAATAATAGTATTTTCTCCAGCAAGTCAGTTACAGACTAATCTCTTTTGCACCATCAAAAAATACAATAAATTTGTCCCAAAATATAAGATAATATATTTATGCTTGAGCGAATTTTGTAAAGTAGCTTGCTGATATTATGGCTGTAGCAAAATTCCTGTGTTTTTAAAGTCTGCATGTTTAGAATTCAGATGGCACTAAAAGTGTGTGGACAATATGCTTTAGGGGCAGGATGAAGTTTCTAGATATTAGAATAGTTTGTTGCTTTAGTGAAACTAGGACTGGGATGAATAATGTGCCTTAGTGTTGTTGGTATTTTGTCATCTTGTTAAGTTTCTAAAATGGTACACAAGTCTTGTTCATTTTTTTATTTTTTGTAGATTTATATATATATCTATGTTTTCATTTCTTCATCTTTACTGATGTTAGAAATGATACCCAGATTATTTTTGTATATTGTTTATTGATATTCATGAATTTTATTCCTGTTAAGGTTGACAGTCACGATCCATCTGTAATGCTAAGCAATGGTGCTGTAACAGAGTTAAATGTCATGAAGACAAGAAACAGTGTGGATTCTAAAAATATAGGCATGAAAGAATATGAAGGTAGTGAAAGAACTGCCAAATCGGTTACAAAAGCTGACAAGGAGACAACAGCAGCAGTGCATCGTCTTAGTAACCCAGTGAAAGTAGCTATGATTCCTATTGCTGTCAGAAGGCCTGTAAGAATTTCTGTTTTCTGCTAAACTAAGAATGATAAGAAAAAATCTTAAATTATTTTTTTTGATTTTTATTCTGTATAATTACATCAAAATACCATTTTTTGTTTAAAGTAATTTTTGATTGTTAAATGCGCATGTTATACATTATGTAACATATGTTTGCAAATAAGTTTAAGTAAATATGAGCACAGACTACCAAATATGACTGCAGGTCCACAGGTCTCATAGGCCACACCCTCTTCTTCCCTTCCTGGTAGCTCCCTTCACAAAAAACAGCTAAAGAGGAAATCCAGCCTAACCTCTTGCAGGAAAATGAATGAGGTTATTTCTAGACAATACTTGATGAGGAATGAGTCCCCTGTCCCCTCTTCCAAAAGGCCTTCTTAAAGATAGAGTAAATTCTGTCATGAAGCTTGGCTAGAGAAGTTAATCTGCTGTTCGAATTAGCGTAAATAGTAATTTGCCATTACAGCTGCAAACACCCACTTTGTTTATTTTGATGAATTTATTTTCATTGTAGGTGCCTATTGTTCCAAAGAACAGTGGGAATTTTGCTGCTTTGGGCAAACAGTCAAAGCCTGTAGCTGCTGATAATAAAAGAGATGCTAGCGTTCAACCAGTATTTATCATACTTCATGCAGGAACTGTAAACATACCTGGTAAAATGTGTGGACAAGCAACGGCACCAGTTAAGGTAGGGATTCAGATTAACTCAATTTAACTAGGAACAATCCCCAGTTTACAGAATAAGTGAATGGTAATATTTCTTTATTTCAATGTGAAATAAACACAAGTTTACTGTCCCTCCTTCAATTCAGTTTCTAATTCAGGTTGAAAATTGAGGCAAGGTAAAGGGTTAGCTGTTTTAAATGCATGTCTGTTCTAACAAAAGGGTATAAAGAAAGTTGCATTTCTCTTGAAATTCAGAACTAATTTTATGGCTACCTATTTCTTATCTGGAAGTATTTGTAATTAAAGATACTCCTACATCAAAAGATGTCTCCAGGTAGAAAAAAGAATCTGGCAAAATGTCTATTAAAATTTTTTGCATTAAAGATGAGACTTTTCATGCCTTGTATAGAGTAACTTCAAGGTGTTTTCCTCCTTATTATTCAGATTTACGGAGAAAGAATTATCATACAAATTGAAGAAGAGGCAACAAATAAAAGCACAACTATGAGGATATTATGTAATGACTTGCGAGAAGTCCAGGTACTGCACTATTTTTTGACATGTTTCTGTAAAATTAGAAGATAAAAGTCATCAAGGTTGCTGGAAATGTCTGCAGCCCTAAATTATTACGAAAGCATGCCATATTTTTTTAATAAAAGTGCTTAATAGGAAGTGACATATATTTAAGAATTTAAAAAATACAGTACGATCTAAGTGAAGATCAATGCTATAATGAAAAAAAGATCTAACACAACATAGGCACCATATGGAAGGTCCCTTCCCATCATCTGTCAGTCCCCTTTTTCGGTTAGCCCTGATGTGTTAAAAAAGACTTTAAATAATGGAATATCACTCTTGAGTATTATATTATTTCCATTAGAAAGCTTGCTGCATTTTTTCTGAATAGATTCTTTTTCCATCACAGATGAACCTTGAGGAACATCCATTTTCCTTGCAATTGAAAACGTGTCAAATATATTACATGAACCAGAGCAAAATGAAATCAAAAGACAACAAGAAAGAGGCTTTGTTGGGTATGCATTCAATTGATATTATTTTTATCTGATGTCACGTTAGGATCTGTATCATTTTGAAGGATAAATTTAGAGATTTAAAATAATCCAACTAAGTTTCGTTTCTTCAAATATATATGATTGGCTTCATTAATCTTGGAGCTTGGATTTTCAGTGTAGGGTAATGGTCATCATACTTTCTTTATCAAACTATCAAACTCAGTGGTGTATCTCTACATTGTAGAATAGAGGGAGTAGGTGGTTAAAAGTAAAATTTACCAACAAAGCCATGTTGACCCGATTTTACCTACGACGGCCCATCCCACGGTCTCATAGACCTACAAAAGATTTGTGCTGACTAGCCAACGAAAGAATGAGGGAAGTTGTCTCAAACCGTACCGCCCCTGGGGATAAAACATCTCAGCACTGTTTGTCAGGATCAAGGTCTCCATCGCAAGTTTGAAAGTGGCAGTTAGGGGCAAGGACTAATTAAAGACCCATAACAAAAGATTTTGTAAAAGAGGTCTGTTGTTTCGTTATCGGATGCCTTAAGGGTTGTGGCTTGCACGATAATCATGCAGATGTCAAGAATGTTAATCTTTACAGAAATTTTATTTACATAATTTTTCTATGCTTGATTAGAATTTCAACTTTACTACAGAAACCGTCAAAATCAACCTTGCATACGAGGTCTCAGTTCCGCCAGATGTGAAAGAAGAGTTGAAATCTCTTGTAGGTTCAAATACAGTAATTTATTTTACTTTATCGATCATTTAAAAAAACCATTTATTATCAAGGTTTGTAAGTTAAAAATTGTGCACATTTTACTGGTCTTTATTCATGCTGTTTGTATATATATTCCGTCAAAAGGTGTTCTAGAAAGTCTTTTCTTTGCAGACTCTGTTATTGACTTATGACTTGAAGTTATGAAACTATTAGATCATTTTGTTATCAATAAAGTACATTTGCGGCTCAGATAAAGATCTTTTAACTTTTTGGCTTGTTTAAATTCACCAGTCAACGGAACCAAGTATTTACAGTCATTCAAAGCTTCAATAGCTTTAAGACCCTTTGCAAGATGTATGTATCAATGCATGGATTTTGGACACAAATTGCCAGACTGCCGTATTGATTCTTATTAGCGTCTCCTCCAATTAGCGTCTTTGCTCACAGGTTTGAATTATCACCCCAGTGCTAATTAGAAATAGTGACGTAAGAGAGAGTAAGGCCTCTTTAACAAAATCTGTGTTGTGATCCTTGAGTTTTCAGTTTCAGGAAAAACTGCGTCATTTGAACCTTTGGAGAAATGCGTAAGTAAATTTTTCTTCACAGTCATTTCAGCACTTCAAAAACCTTGTTCTGCTTCACTGTGTATTTTAGTAACTCTTTTGGGCCTGTTTTTCTATCCATTTCTTCAGATATGCCCACTCCTCATGAATTTTTCAGACATTTCCAAAACCTTACAAACTTTTTTTCAAGATTTATCCTGTGGGTAATATAGTAATGTAGATACCCTGTGGGTAATGTAGATAAATAGTAATGACAGAAAATGAAAAGCAAGAACAACTCGTGTTGTTTCTGGAAATCCCAACTTCACGCTATGAAGCTATCTTTTACCTAGTTTTCAAACTTTTCCAACAAGATAGTCAAGGGTATTGCAGTCGGAAGTTGAATCTGGATTTTTCAAGTCTTTTATTCACTCTTTGTTTCTTTATGTATGATCATTACAGAAGCTGATTTATACCAATTAATAGCATCTTAATTTGATTTTAGTTAATGATATTTTAAAATACTACAGCAGGGATAGCTTGCCTTCAGCACCTGGACTTTACAAAATTTTATTAAATGGGTTCTAAATACAGTTTCACTATGTGTTACACAGGATGAGCCCAAACGCCTCACCAAGCACTGAAAAAGGAAATAATGAAAGATCAACTACTAAAATCACAATGTCTCCAAGTGCTAGAGTCAATTCAGCTCCTGTTCTTGAAGGAAAGATCGGAGTAGGTGGGTGTTTTTAGATTTTTTCATATAAAAATTGTATTCGTGGAAACTTCTTATTGCAATATATTCAACACGTGCACGCATATTGCTTCCTTATTCTAATTTTCTAAACGTCTTGCCAATTTTTAGCTAATTGCGAACAATCCATTGAATATATTGACCTTGGAGAAGCGTCGATCAAGAAGAAATGTTTTTATCTCTGTTTTAAATAATATAGTCGCGTATGAACAAGAAATATTTAAGCTTTAAGTTCGATTATGAAATTTACTCTAATGATTACAATCATTGGTCACTAAATCTATTAGAGTTAAGGATTGGATCAATAGAATTTGAAGATGACACGAACTAGCGGAAACACGGCATACTGTGTACTTTGCGTCCGACACTCTTCAGATCTTAAGCGTCGGAGGGAAATAGCTAAAGCTAAGCAGATAATTTGTATTTAGGTGTGGATCGATTGGTAAAAAAAACCAACCAAATACGTCTCTTTTCCTCCCATGTTACTTTGTATCGCCACTTAATAAGTTTTCTGCTTACCTTTGGTCATTATATACAATTTATACGCGTTATCCTTAGTCTAAAGAGCGTCGAACAAACAGTAATTTAGTATGTTCTGTTTCCGCTATTTTGTCCAATCTTTAGATTTTTCTATACTAAAACTTTATTTATCTATAGAATGATTACACTCTCATGCTTGGGTATGAATCCACCTTTTGAGAAATTCCATCATCATTATTTGATCCTTATGGTTTATGTTTGCTATCGACCATTCTCAGCATGATATACAAAACTTTCAACAAAGTACTTCTCTTAATAAAAGTAAGGAAAATTGTTTTGTGTGTATTGCATAGATAATTTGAGATGTCAATGGTGATATTTTGACATTAATGAAATCTTTTTTTCAGGCTGCAGAAAGCGAACCCCTGAGAAGAACAGTGATGAGCAGGTATGTAAAAAAGTTTTCAGGCAATTTTGCTTCACCCTCTCTGTAAGTTTATTTTTTAATCAAATTCAATGGCAGTGGAGATATTACACGTTAAGTGCCGTTTATAAAACGTTTTATGGCATTGTTTGCTGCTGTTTTGAGATAGAAATGAAATATGTTCGTCACTGTTGTAATTGAATCTTCACGATTTGGTTACGGTATTCAAGAGCAACAGTCGAAAAATCCTCGATGAATTGTCGAATGAATAATAGAAGTAGCTATTTTCTGAAGATTTTCTTAGGTACAATACTTTGGTTCTAGTCTTAGGATACATTACAGTATATTATATGATATTAACAAAGCAATATTATTCTACAGTCTGACATTAGTATTATCTTGGCATAAATCATTGCACCGGTTTGCTCTTTTGACAGACGGTGCCTGTTGGGTCATCACAAGATTGCAAATTGGCAAGGCGAATTCTCTTTCAAGAAACCGATAATCAGCAGGAACGTATAAAAAGTCTCGAAAGCGAGGCTGCTCACTACCAACTTTTGTTAGGCCACAAAAGGCTAGAAATACAGCAACTTGAGGAGCAAATTCACGCAGCGGAACGCAGTGCAGTGGTTGCGAGGGAGGAGGCGTATAGTGAAATAAGCAGAAGAGATAATGAAATCTGTCAATTGCAAAAGCAAGTTGATTCTTTGAATCTACAAATCAGCGAAGAGAAAGAGAGCAAGGCAGGCTATAGGCAGCAGATCAGCGAACTGAGCAGAGAACTTGAAAGGAAGGATACTACTTTGAAAGAACAGCAGCAAGCAATATTAGTGAGAGAAAGTCAGTTGAAGGAAGTGAGGAACATCGCTGTCTCTCCTAGTAAAATGAACGAGCAGGAATTACGAGAGGAGATTAGAAGGCTGAAAGACAGTCTAAGACAGGCAAGGTATATATTGTTTTTATTGAGCATATTGACAATATCTCTTTTCTATTTTCATTCAAAGATCCAAATGGAGGCAGAAGCTTTGGTTAAACATGTATTTGCGTTCTGATATACATTTCTTTTTGCGTATATATATATAAGTGTTTTAGTTCTTTAACTGTTAAAGTTTTGATGATAAATTCATTTCAGTGTTATATTTTATTTAGTTGACAGTTTTCCTTGTAGTGATTTTTATATTTCAGAGCAAACCTAGATGACACGAGACGGTCAAAAAGCTGTATCAGTGAAGAGCTGCGAAAAAGCGTTGATATTCTTGGAAATGTTCGAGAGCAGTTAAGAAATGAAACTAGCCGATGCAGAAGGTTTGAAAACGAAGCCTCCAGGGCAACGCAACAAGTAAACGAGCTTACTGGTACAAAAAGGGCAATACAGGTAGAGCTGAATGACGAGAGAGACCGAGTTGCCTCGTTGGAGCGCGACATTTTGATATGTCGAAGGCGTATTGAGAATGAAATAAATCATCGACGAGAAATCGAGGATGAATGTAGAAATATGAGGTCGTTGATGAATGAAAAAGATAGAGTTATTGAAAGTATTCGGAATGAACGAGATAATACGGTCACAGAAGTTGGTATCCTGAAAAGAGAAATCTACCAACTTAATGAGCAGCTAGAGTCTGAACAAACAAACGCAAGGAGCGAAGATCGCAATGTCTTCTCGTCGCAAAACAGGCGGCAGCCAAATATGGAGTCCCACGACTGGGTTCTAGATCGTAACGAAATACACATCCACGGAACTGTACTCGGAGTAGGTGGATGGGGGCAAGTGAAGCTGGGCAAATTTCGCGGCACTGAAGTTGCAGTTAAGCAGATACATCATCTGATTTTGTCACAGCACAACCGCCGATTATTCAACCGCGAAATGACGATCGCATCGCGTTGTCGCCACCCTTGTTTGCTGCAGTTCATTGGCGCGACCTGTGATGATGGTACTCCTTTGTTTGTTTCGGAACTCCTTGAAACAGATTTGCGCTCCCATTTGTCCCAAAATGCTTTGCGTCCTACCGAGGTCGTTGCTGTAGGCTTAGATATTGCACTGGCTCTGAATTATTTGCATAAACAAAAGCCATTGCCCATAATTCACCGCGATATAAGCAGCTCCAATGTTTTGCTGTGGTACAAAGGGAGGGACATGCATGCAAAACTCTCAGATTATGGGGCTGCCAACTTTATGAGACTATCGATGACACGACATCCCGGTGCTTCATTGTATTCAGCTCCAGAGACTGCATCTGGTGAACAAACACCTAAGGTTTGTAATTTTTAATTTTTTTACATAATTTCTTAAAACTTATCTCGATATTGGCATAATTGTCACATTTGCAGAACAGGCTGGAAAACTTGTACCCGCTCACTGTCATTCGCGGAAAGTAAGGATCTAAAAACATTTTGTTTTTTTCTTCCTTTCTTTTTCCTTCTTTTGAATTTACTATTTTTACACCGAATTTACTAATAGGGCTACTTTGAGTAGTAATTTTTTGATTTGTAAGTAGCGTTTTTTCTACAGGGCCCTTGTAAAGCAATCTCAACAATGACGGAAATACAGTGGATAAATGATTTGAAATGAATAAATGAATGAATAAATGATTGAATGAACATAGCTCAAAGCACACTTCATCGTACTGCATAGCGATTCTCTTCTTTGACAAACTAAATATTCTGAAAACAAAGTAAAAATGTTTTCTGAATTTAGCCTATTTTGATGCAACTTCCAGGTCGCATTTTGGAATCTCCAATGACTTGCAAAGCCAAAGCCATATGTGAAACTAATCTGATTTTGAAGGCTTTTGCGTAATAATAAATTTGTAAACTTTTAGAGAAAAATTGATCTTTTTATAAAACACAAAAATTTCCTTATTCCATGTTATTTACACTCAACCAGGTAAATTACCTTTAAATCTTTTTGTTACTTATATCTGATTCCTCAGATAAAGTTTATTGGCGGTATGATAAAGTTCCGAAATTTGGTTAATGATACAATCTTCTCACAGAACTTTCTTCTCCCTGCTATTTATTATTTTCAGATTTTTTGTTTGATTTTTTATTCTGTAAGCTTTCTCTTCTTCCCTTTTCAAAATCTCTTTGAAAAGCAAGGAGTTAAATTTTCTTTGAAAAGCGAGAAGGAGTTAAATAATGTCTCACCTACAATATTTGAAATATTGTAGTTCTTTTCAAAAAGTTTTGGAATATATTTTAAACACAATATGCTGACTTTCTAGGTTGACATTTACAGCTTTGGAGTAATGTTCTGTGAGATGTCCATTCGGGAACTACCAGTTACAGAACAAAGAGATCAGCAAATAAGATTGATGGGAAACCAAGACTATCGTGTTTTTGTTCAAAGGTGCATTGAGGCAGATCCAGTATCCAGACCTGATTCAGAAGAGACGGTAAATATTTTTGCAGGATGGAAGGCATTGAATCTTTGATTGAGACAGCTTTTTCTATCAAGAAGTAGTTGCAAAGTTTTGAAGCCAAAATTCACAATTTAACTGGAAGAATGCACTTCAGTTATCAGAAATTCATGGTCAACAACTACCCTTTCATTGATTCATTTTCATATAGAAATCATGGCTGAAAATACTGTAAACATTTGAATTTCTATGGTTACATGTAAATGGGAGAAATTGATGTTTTGTGGTCCAGTCAGTGATGAGAATGAATTCTGCGTTTTAGAAAGAATTTTTTATCACTTGTAGCTAGCTGGAATTTGTATTTTTAAAGACTTGCATGTAATGTATTAATATTGTATACAAATGTTGAAGTTCTAAAATAAATCATATGTTTTCGTAACACAAAAGATTTGTGTGATTTGCTTTTTTGTCTGAAAATGAAACATAACATTTTGTATCGAAATGGGGAATGAGTGTTTGTGTTATGACTATTGTATTGTGTTCGTAGGAAAGAAGTCTGGAATGTTGGTCTTCAATTCTAGAAAAAAAACAATTAAAAATCTTCAGTGCCAAGCTAAACAGTGTCTTTTTCATTCTGAAATTTTAGCACAGGAAAGATTGAAGCATTTACTGTACATGGAAAATTCGCATATTCTCAGTTCCTCCTCTTGAGTACTCTCTTATATTATTAATCAGGACCATTAAAGAATCATCACACAGATAAAACAAATTTCTAAAATAAAAAACAACAATTTTATTTCAGTTAAGACTCCAAAAACTTTCCAATCACAGATTTTGCATAAAACTAGGTAGCTGCATATTTCTCTTATTTTTTCTTATACTCTTTTTATTAAATTTTGCTTTGAACCAGTTTGTGAGTCTTCTTCTATCGTTTGGTTGGGGTTTATATTCAGTAGGTTCCTCTGTATATGGCAATGCTGCCATGTTTTCATCGATTGTGCTGTCTTCCAAAGGATAATCGCGCAGAAATGTAAGATCTTCGTTTCCTTTCATGTCAGTTCTCCTTTCATGCTTCAAAACCTCTATTTTTTGGATTAGAGGTGAATACAGCTGAAAGTTTATTTCAACAGGTTCACTGTCAATGACATTTCTAAGGGTAAAGCGTGCATGTAGAAGGTTCTCTGGTGTTGACTTTATGATGCAGATTCCCACAAACCTACAAACGATTAATATTATTCGGCTTCAAATTAATATTGTTAATTCAAATTTGAACTTACTTTGCTTATTTGATGCTACAGTAATGAATAAAGATTGTAATTTTTTAATCATAAAGCTTGCTTGCAAAAATAATTCATTTTCCCAAAAAGTATGAGATAGTACTATTTTTTGGTAGATTTATTCATTGCTCTATTCCAGACCTCTCAGCTTGAGAGGCCTGAAAAAGCTGGAACATTGATAGTACTGATATTACTGCCTTTCTGTGTGATTCAGTTATGAATTGTGTGCCTTGATAAAAAACATTGCTTTGAGGCAGACATCTTTGCTACTTTTTCAATAAGACAATTTACTAAAACCACCTTACCTTAAAGAGCCCTTTGGAGAAAAAGGCTCAGCCCTGGTCACAGCCAATATACTGCCAACACAGAATTTTGGTATATGCAAGACCTGTCTTCTTCTAAAAATATCTTTTTGAACCAAGTAAGTAAGGACATCGGCATCTGCCTCTTCCAATGTTTCAGGGAATTCTTGGATGCAATCTTTCTCCTCCCAAATAAACCTTGAATGCAATACATTACAAAAGTGTAAAAAGAAAATGCAATTGTATATGAAATGAGTTGTTTTGTGAGATAGTAAATGCATCAATCATATGTAGATTTTCAAAAGAATATTAAAGCAAATCAATGGATATGAAACAAGCCCCTATCTCTACATCTATATAAAGGACACCATTATGAGACTTCTCTTTGCAAGTGGACATTCAACAAAACTATATCATTGATACAGCTTTAATCTAACACAAATTTATTGAAACCCGTGGGTGCAAATTTATTGAATTTAATAAATGCAAATTTAATGTTTACAGGTTTTTAGAATTGCTGGATGTTTGCTCTGAATTCTCTTTCAATCTATATTGCCTTTAGAAGTGGTATACTAAGCAAAATTATACTACTTTTGATTAAGTTATGAAAAAAACAGGGAACTTAAAATACTTAATGCAAGAGTGAAACTTGGTCACATGTAATTGTTAGTATTCTTATTCTTATTCTATAAGAAATAACACTTGTTAATTATTTCAAAATATAAGATTGTTGACAGTATATTCAAAGTGGAATGTCTAAAATGCAGTGGCGGAGCACAAGCACAGAACTTAGGCATGCTGTAACATAAAGTATACGGTTACGTTGAATGAATGAAATCGTAATTTCAGCTTTTTGAAAAATACAAGCAACAATTAATGATAATCAAGATTATAAATTTTTTCTTGACTTCAATTACAGAATGTGGATCATGACAAATAGACTTTAACAAAACTGTTTCTCTTTATGACAGTCACAAAAGAAAAAAAAGGAAAATAATTAGATTTGAAATGATGTATCACCAAAGAATATTCGCAAAAGCAGCTTATAGTTAGAAAAATGTTGTGGATTATCAAATATTGGGGAATGCTTGCACTCAGAAGCATCTCTCGAGCTGCCCTGAAGCTGCACTGGAGCATCGCATGTTTCTCATATTTTAGACAGGCAAAAAGAGTGATGCAAAGAGGCTTCAGTTTTTCAGATTATTCAAATTTCACAATTTTTATCAATCTGTTTTCTTGGAAAAATAGCCAATTGGCATGTTTGCGCTGGAGTTCACTGTATGCTGCTCATGACCAGAAAGAGAAGCTGTTTATTGCAGAAAATGTTATGCATTGACTTTAACACTACATTGTATTCATTACTGGTAGAAGCATTGCAAGAATTTTAGAATTACGCTGCAAGCGTAGCATACTTTGATGCTATGGCACTGCTAAAATGATCATGACATTAGCAAGATGCCCAGTCAAATTGTTCTAATGAAACTGACATTTCCTTCTCAACAAAACACATTTTGATATCGGTATGGACAATAGATTCCTCCAAATATTAGACAGATTTCTACACTGAGAATTTTAAAGTCATGCTTTTTTCACTTTGAGGATTGGTAATAGCTCCAATAAAACCATGCTATTTCGTACAACAAAGCACTGAAGGTATAAGCAATATAATGTATGAAGGTATGTAATAAGTTTTACCTTGGTTTCAAAGGTTCTCCAATAACTGTTGGTTTTGAGCTTGGGTGTTTTACATAAACAGATCCTTGGTCAACAATGGCACTACTTTTTCTTAGTTGGTACTTCGCCAGGCTAGACAGTGTTAACTTGTTAGAGATTTCTTCAAACTAGAAGAAAGATGTACTTGATTAAACCAACAAACTTCTTAGAAATCATTGTATTTAGGAGTTTAAGAATAAAATTCCATAGTTTTTCGATAATTACCCAATGCAATACCTAGTAAATTGCAATCCATACCTCATTGTCATCAGCAAAATGAATTCCAGATGCAATATTTGTTGCATTGAGTTTAACTGTAAAATGATTAAAACAATATAATAAAAAGATTGCTAATAGCAAATACTCATTTGAGGGGGGGGGGGGGTTAAAGGGTAAAATTATGTGAAAGGGTACAATACAGGGCAGTGGTGAGAACAAGTGGAAAATTTATGACATGAGATTTAAACTAGACTAATTTCAACATCATGATGACAATTTCATATCTGAGGTCTATTTTTGAAAAAGATCTGTAGGAAGCGAGATGCTAAATGAAGTCAACCCAAACCCAGACTGCATAGTATCGCAAATGCACACCTGAGATATCTTTTTTAAAATGCCCCTGCAAACCCAGCAAAGGGTGTGGCATTTTGAAATCTGGGCCTGGCATGGTTGTGTCAATCATGTGAATTTTCTTACAATGAAAGTCTTAAATGATATAAATGAGTTTCTCTTAGTTTGAAACTGCCTGATTATAATTGCTCTACCACATCCAATTTAGCTGTCCACAGGCCTGTATTCTGAGGATCTAACATAGTGTGTATACTATTGTGCACAATTGAAGTGCACATTTAACAAAAATGCACACTTGCACACTTGAAATTTTGCTCTTGCACACCCGAGATCTCATTCGAAACTGCCATACTCTGCAGTCCCCTGACCCTAACAAAATCAAGCTTCGGCTAGCAGATAACTTTCGTTCTCGTTGGGTTTACATGAAAATGGAAATGCAGGTAATTCTCTAACGACAATAGAAACGGAAAACGTTATGAATTTACAATGACAACTATGATTGTATTGAAAGTATTTTTTTGGGATAAGCACCAGAACAAAAAAATATGTTATTGCTTTTGTAAAATAGGCCTTTAACCTGACGTGGATGGCTTTTTCTTCTTTATGTAGAGTTTCTGACGCCGCTTTCGTTCCTCTCTCCTTTCCAGAGCAGTTTTGTTTCTCATCAAAGTGACATCTACATGGATTTGTCGAGCGCCTAGCAAATAGACAGGGGATAAGTATGGCCGTAACACTGTAGCACACAACCTGTTTGTAGCTGCCATCTTTCCTCCCCTCTTGCCCAAAATTAGTGTTGTTGTTGCTGAATTCTCACATTGCAGCCTCGGTTTAATTTGCTTTCCCCAACTTTTACGATCTAAATATGAAAATCCATGGCTATTGAGTTCAACTTTTAAATGAAAAATAATTTGGAAGGTGTAAACTGAATTGATGGAGCTATTAGCTTAATGGGATGCCCAGGGTTGAAAATGCTCTAAATAAATCTCATGGCAAATTGGTAGCCTCGAGTCAAAGAAAACAACGATGTTGTTGATGTTGATTTATTCAATCTAGAGTAAATTTTGCACACTCTAGCACTTGACACAATCTTGAAATGATAAAGTAGTTATTCTTACCAGGTTATTGTACTGACGACTAGTTACGTCACTTAAAACCTTACTTTTAAGTCTAGATTATAATCTTCGAATGATGGTGGCGCGTAAAATATTGAATACCCAAGAAGGTGTTTCTTCGATATGACCCACCGAATCGCCAGCTTTTGTTCGAATCCAGCTTAGAAGCTTGACGCACAATTTCGGCAAAGAAAAAGAAGGGGAACAACACCAAAACCAAAGTTATGGATTTCGAATTTAAAAGCCGCCTGAATGATAGCAGAGAGCGAGTAGAAGACTTGTTTAATTTTGAAGGTTGTAAGGTTGGCAGAGGGACATATGGCCATGTTTACAAAGCACGGTCAAAAGATAGGTATGCAAAAATCTATGAAAGAGGGTAGAGCTAAGAATGTGATCTTTATGTAAAGTTTAAGAAAATTTTGATAAAGCTATCAAAAGATAAATAGAAATTACCAACTTTGAAATCTGCCATTCTGTCACCAGAGGCAGAGGCCCGTAATTAAATAACTTTTTGAGTGTTGTTCTTAGCTATTATGATTGAGGAGGTTGCTCAGGTCCATTAGTAAACAAAGTTTGAAGATTTGCAGATGGGGCACACTAAAATGGCAAAAAATTCTTATATTTGAAACTTAATCTTTTTCCACAAAAGGGATGTCACATCCCACCCCCCTCCCCCTATAGTGAGGAGCCTGACATAATAACAGGGTCAGTCTCACACTTGTTGGCCAACCTGGGGGGAAAACTGGTATGCAGAACTGGTCTATCTAAAAATTTTTATCCAATTTGCAATATCAATATCTCTGATGTGCAGGTATACATTTGAACTTTGTATGCACGCCAATGTGCAAGAATTTTTTGAAATTTGGGGAGTGTTCTGTCTGTTCTCTCTTGCTTATAAATTAATAATAGGAGCAAATGTGATGTGTCAATTGATCAATTTTTCTGTCATCTTTTCAGGTATTCTGTCATTTTAGGTCATTTTTGATCAAGTTCTCTATTGCCTTGTTTTGAGAGCATAACAGTTATAGTTTCAGTTTCAGTTCCATTCATTTATCACTCAATCCTAAATACAATTCTACAAGATAACACTTCAACTAAATACTTACAATATATAATACCACACAAAACAAATTAAACTTACAGAAGACTAGAAAAGAACTTTACATGATAGCATTTAAGACCAATTGATTAAGGAGGAGCTCTCTAAATAAGTTAACTAATCAAGAGAGAGCCCTCCCATAAAAATAAATAAAACTAATGACATATTTTAATAAAAATAAATCAAACATATCACCATTGGTATTTGGTATTTGTATATAACACTGGTAAAATAACACTGGTATTTATATTTGTATTTGTTGCTACCTATCATCCAAAGGTAGTTTTTAGGACACTGAGAAGCTATCTTCTCGAGCAGTGTCCTGGTCCTTCCTCTCGATGTGACCACACCTCGTGATTTCTACACCTGTAATTACAGAGAGCTGGCGATTCTCCTCAATCTGGGTGAAAGTTTGGCCATGCCAGGGACTCGAACCACTGACCCTTGGGTCTATAGTCAGGGCCTCTAACAACTGGGCCATCCTTCCCCCTAACACTGGTATTTGGTGACATACGCTCCATAAATATTACCAAGGGATGCTTAGTTTTCCAGACCAGACACATATCAAATTCAATTGCCAGTGAAAACAATTAAAAAACCAAGTGTCAAGAATGCAGCTTTGTTTTTCAGAAATATAAGGGGATAATCTGGATAAGCTCTGCATACCAGATATAATTTGCAACACTAAAAGTATATGTAAAAGTATATATATATAAAAGTATATATAAAAGCTGAAAAGAATAAAATACAGTAATTTAAATTGAAAACAGAAGATACATATATCCCCTAATTTCATTGGAAGGGATAGCATTAAAATGTCAAGCCGATCTTATTTCCAAAATTGTTCCCTCAGAGGTGCTGGTTTAGCAGGAAAAAGAAATGAGATGAAAAAAGAATGATACAGGAACTTTTGACTGTTGTTAGTTACAAACTAGTCCTTAATGGTAGGCAAGTCAATCATGACAGACATCCTCTGCGTTTTTGCATATAAACCTTTATAAAAGATTATTACTAATTAAGCTCTATGTATGTAGCATTGTTCTGGAAAGAAAATAAGGGATACTGTAAGCAGGCCCTGAAATGAGAAAAAGTCAGGAGCTTGTTTAATCAAGCCCCTCAATTCAGTTAGGCACTTGATCAAGCTTCTAGATTATTTTGTCTTTTGATCGTGTTTTCTTAGATGTGCACAATCAACAGTTGTAAGAAATTGTCCGCGAAATATAATGAAAACGTACTGTTACGATGACCGTTAATGTACCCCAACAAGGATTAAATACCGAATATAAATATGCTTTGTTTATAAACTTTATGTACATCACCAATGTCTCATAAGCGTTATTGCCGGATTATTGCATAAAGTTGTTCCAAACAGCTTTAATTACCAGAAAAAGTGCTAACATAGCTGTTGAAATACTAAGTGCCTATAGTATTTTTAAACATTTGCTATGGAAGTGATTTTCAAATGCATTTTTCCATTGTGATTTGATATACTGGCTTTTTGTCATCTGTGTCACTTGCTTGGGTCACAAAAATTGACTAAAAATGTGCTAATTGATAAGTCATTCATTCCTCCCAATTTACATTCATCTCCTCAAACGAAAAGGCCTGCAACACAGAAGTGATGCAAATGGAATATAGCACATGTGATCTGAACATTACTTGGGATTTACGAAAGCCATGAAAGCTTTACACTTTATGTTTTGTAATGATCAGCTAGGCGCTCGAGCAATCAAGCCTGTAAATTTTCTGAGGTGAGTGTGGAGGCGCTTGCACTTGATCAAGCACTTCTCATTTCAGGGCCTGATTTCATCTCATTTTTTCATGAGAGGGCATTGAGGCAACAAGTTTCCAGTCTATTATGAATACCAAAGTTATAAATCATCCCTGTTTGGTCATGTCAGTATTATATATCAACAAAATTTATATATATAAACAACAAAATTTTTGCTTCATCGTCAAGCCTGAGAAAGAACTGTTTCTCAAACAGAGTAATAAACAAATGGAACAATTTGCCAGTAACCATAGTCAATGCGAAGTCAGTTATAGAGTTTGAGAAATTATATGACAATTTTTGCGGGAATGGGAAGTACAACTATGAATACACTTAAAAACGAACACTGAAAGGTTTAATAGGCCAATGGCCTCCTTATTCCTCATTTTATTGTATTATTATTACAAAAGGCTTAATGTTAATGATTCAATGGCTCTTCTAAATCTTGAGCTGATTTGTCAATATAGGCATCATGTTGTTTCATTCAAAGTTGAATAACTTTTTAAATAAGCTCATTTTTTTACACAGCAAAGATTCAAATGATTATGCATTAAAGCAGATTGAGGGTGCTGGTGTATCAATGTCTGCATGCAGAGAGGTCGCAGTAAGTTTCCTGTCAGAAATTTACTATCCTTCTAGCTTGGCCTGGTGTTTATTTTACAACAAATTCTTGTATTTATCATAACTTTTATATTTTACCTAATTTTTTTAAGTTTTAAACTATTTTGAAAAAGCTGAGAAAAGGTAAATAGTTCATAACAACAAGAGTTTATTTCAAATTTCTTTCATATAACATTTTTACCTGCAACACCTTATAAGATTATTCTAAAAGGTATAGAATGAATTTTCACTTATATCTTCAAAGTGTTTCAGATTTGCAACATAGTGTATGCATGATCAAAAAGGTTTATTTATGGGATACAAGCCTTTCTGAACTATGTTTTTGTAACAAGCAATTACTGACTTCTGACCTGGAAGTTAAGCTAACAAATCAAATGCCCATGTGCACTTCCATGCCCATCTAGTAAGCCCAAGGCAGACAACTAAAGTGGCTACATTTCCATCAAATCTTGGAGAAATTGCTCTCTAAGGGTGTTTTATTTGATTCATTTTAAGAAATCTAATCTTCTGGAAGCAAGAATGAATCAATATTTAGTCTCAAAAGTTCGGAGACTCTCCAACACCCACTATGGTGTACAGTAACTTTATAGCTTGTAAAAACGCTATGTTCAATTACTTACTTTCATTTATTTCATTTAATCCTTTTGAAAGTCTCAAGTTTCAAAATATTTACTTTGTTCGCCTACGTTTATGAAGCCTAAAATAAGATTACTTTATGAACTTTTGAAAATATCCCCTGCCTCATGATTGTATGTACATAATCACACCCAGAAAAAATAAATCAAAGTTTAATTATTTGCACTTTGATGAAATTATTCCAAAGTCAACTTTAAATGCATATACTTTTCACAGATCTCTTTCCCTATCGCATTAGAAACTACGAAAACGTCTTTTTGATGCAGTGTTTTTTATGATTAAAGTAACTATTCTTGTCAGAGAAAAATTGCACTTTGTTTAAAGCGTTTTAAAGTGATGTCAATTGAAATTTTGTTTGCTTCTGCTCTAGCTTCTAAGAGAGTTGAAACATCCAAATGTCATCTCTTTGAAGAGAGTGTTTCTGTCCCATGCTGATCGCCGAGTATGGTTACTCTTTGATTACGCTGAGCATGATCTTTGGGTAAGCATTTTCTGTTGCTTTTGGTGGATTTTCTTCATTTTTCCCTAAAAGTTGGAGAAAAAACATTTCATTTATAACTGATGCAAGCGAATTCATCTGCAACAGCAGAAACATAATTGACGGTCGTATAAAGAGTCGCCCACAAATATTTAGCAATTGGTTGCGAACTTCCTTACAACTTCATAGACCAATGGCCGCTTTATTCTCATCGTGTTGTGCCATTTATTATTTTTCCGTTGCTTTTGGTAAGATGAAAATCCAGAAAGAAAAAAGATTTCTAAAGACCGTCATTTAGCTTGTAAGCGAGTCAATTTTGCTGTTTATTCACCCATTGGTTTCCACTTTCTAAAATTTGAAAAACCCAGAGGAGGACATCCTGTTTCAGAACCTAAACTATCTTATCAGTTTCTCTCTATGCTCAACAGAGGCACCGAAGCGGATACTACAACGTGCTGCGTGTAACTGATAATTTTTGCAATTTAAACGAAGGTATCCACGTTTTCACTAAGCGGATGCTGTTAGATTTTTAAATAATCGTCGAAAATTTTACGGTGTAGGCCAACGTCTCAGCATGATATTTCCACGCCCTTGGAAAGTGATTCAGTTTTGCGAAATTAGCAGATAATTTTCTTGCGCCTGATATGGGTTTATTACATAACATAATGCATCACGTGAACAGCAGCAGGTTACAAAGAGCCCATAACACATTTGAATGTCACGTGTTTATAAAAATGCTGAGTGCTAGCCATCGATTAGATTATAAAGTATAGATACCCTTTGCCGAAGGGCAAATAACTCCATCGAAATCTCGTGTGCTTTTGGCAAAATTATCTGTTTTTGAGAAAAGTCCTCAAAGTCCTATTGTTTTGACAAAATCTGTTACGCTTTTTCGAAAGAGTGTTACATCCTTTAGTTCTTTGCTGTTGTAGAAAAGCTTTTGTAAACTTTGATCTTAACAGATAATGCGATTATCTGACTGTAATTGGGCGCGCTTCAAGCTATTGCCGTGGTGATTATTAAGAATGAATTTAAATAAAGCAGATAATTTGCTTGTTATGGCTTGGCATACTTTTGTGGTCAATCAGAAAGCATCGCTTATAAGCGAAATAATTATTTTTAACTGAAGATCAAAGAGGGCGATTCTATATGGTTTTAGCAAAGTTACCACGGCAAATTTTAGCTTTATAAACTAACTTTTTTTTGCAGAAGCTTGACATGCGTTAAACGTTGGAATAATGCTAAACGTTGGATAGTCCTTGAAAGTTTGGATATACCTATACGCTCTTTTTTTATAAGAACCAGTAAATTTAAGTTCAGGCTGACTGTTCTTAATTTTTTCGAAAATCTGAGGCTGGATTGTTCTTAATTTGTCCTTAAATTAAGAGGGTGTAAGCAGTGCTATTGCTAGCTTTTTCGCTCTAAGGAGGTGTTTAGGTCTCATTTGACAACAAAGTGAGTGAGACAGCCTTAATTTGCTGACAAATTTGAATATTCACTGAAAATGCACCCACACATCGCTAAAAATCCTCGATTTTGAGATAAAACGTAGTTCAAAATTTCAATTTGCAGAAGCTCAGCCTCAGCTTGTTCTTAATTTGTTCTTAACTTTTGACCAGTTTTGAGGCTCGTGTTATTATAAAATTGTTCTTATAAGAAAAAAGAATGTATTGTCGTAAATTAATTAAAAATGTCAGCTGTCTGATAAACATAAATAAGATACGATGCAAATTAGATAAAGAAAAGTATCTGTTAATTTATAGCATGAATCATATTGTATCTAGGTCCACCTATAGCCATACCAGGTCCTCTTTGCCTCTATGCTAAGTGTTGCTGAGATATCAAAAAGGACCATCTCAATCTAAGGAACGATATTTACAACCATGTGCTTGTGTTTCTGCGTTACAACCATGGCCTCTTCGATCCACAACTTGGTATATATATTTCCTAGCTTGGCGTTTTCGATCAATATTCTGACATTTTATACCCTGAAGAGTGTCAGACGAAAAGCTTAGGTATGTTGCAAAATATTTGTTATTTTCAAAGCAATTATTTGATTTTGTAGCATATTATCAAATTCAACCGTGCTTCTAAAGCTCAGAAGAAGACTTTGCATGTGCCCAAGAGTCTTGTCAAGTCACTACTCTACCAGATTTTAGATGGAATTCATTATTTGCATTCAAATTGGGTTCTTCACCGTGACTTGGTAAGTGAAAAGGACCAAACATTGCTTGCTGTATAGTGCAAATCTTTTTGCGTTTTCGTAGCACAAATTTCATTGCTATTCAGCTAAACATTTGTTTCATATCTCAACTTTTAACTTTCATAATAAAGGAAAGACATCTGTATGAGTTCTGGAATTCAAACAGATTCAAACAGGGTTGTTTGCCTTTATAGAGAAGCATATCATATTGTTACATCCTTCCAATTTGCAAATATCAAATAAATATGTTGCTTTGCCAGTTTATTCTGTTTGGTACCCAATGGACAAAGAACCGTCTTTAGGCCTCTTCTTTAAATGCCATGATCAGATGAGAAATGAATTCGAGGCTTTGTTGTAATGATTTGTTTTATACTGGTCACATGTATAAACCAGCCTGTAAACATCTTAGAGATTTGAGCTATGGTGATTTGCAACTTTCTCTGACATGTTGCATTAATTCTGCTGTAATTTCAGCCACTCACGAAGCCGTGACTTCACTTTTACTTGATTCCATCCACACAACAAGAATGGCATCTTGTCAGCTAACATTCAACCATTTATGATATGATTCACATTTATAAAAATTGAAATTTGGATTCTGAGCATTAATTTATCGAAATAGACTGGATAATAGTCTTCACTGCTTGCATCTTTAATGCTTATTTGCAGCACGCGTGTTTCTGTGAACTGAGATGCAAATTTTAAAAAATCTCCTCAAGAACATATCACCCTTGTCGACTTAGTTTAAGCTCTGCAGAACCAACGCAAATGAGCATTTCTTGTTAGAATGTTATGTTTTTGAGTGGTATAAAGAACATTATTATTAGAATGTTAGCAAAGAACATTTTTATTATGCACATTTTCATTAAATTTCATAGTTAGTAGATGCTCAGATTATCAAATATTTTTCTTGACCAATATCTGCCCTAATTTGAAATTGGTTTCGGTTTTTTGTGTTTTTGCCGACTATCTTTCTCTCCATTTTAGAAGCCGGCAAATATTCTTGTGATGGGCGAAGGACCGCAAAGAGGCATAATAAAAATAGGTTTGTATGCAAAAGCTAATATTTCCCAAATAGAACAAAATCCTCCTTGTGAGAAATTACCGTGTAAGATATTGAAAGGAAACCGTAGCAGGCTATAGAATTGAAGCTGAAAATTAAGTTTTTACAACTTCATGGTCATTTGTAAGTAGTGTCAATATATAAAAAGAAATGTATAGGCAGATGTTCATGAGAGGCAGATTTCAGTGTCCTTTTTATTGATCAATTGCTACGATTGTATTTTGTAACAGTTTCCAATTATATTTCTAACTAGTATATTTGTATGAAGATAAGTCAGCGATGGTGGTTGTTTGGGAGAGGGTTGGTGTTTTTTTAGGTGGAATTATAACTGTGAAGTGTCAACAACTTTTACGTAAATGCGTAGAATGCGCCTTATAGATTTTTTCAATTAACATGTTGGATTCAAGCTTTCTGTTAAAGAACGTTTCTGACAAATGGCTGATTTTAGAATCTCCTTTACTTAACTTTTCTCTTAAGCTGTCGTTATATCTTGTCGGATCAAGCCTTTTTGCTGTGGCTTTGTTTATCTTAACACGAATCCTTTATGTTATTTAGCTGACATGGGATTTGCTCGACTCTTCAATGCCCCTTTGAAACCACTTGCTGATTTGGATCCAGTTGTTGTCACATTCTGGTACCGTGCACCAGAGCTTCTTCTTGGAGCAAAACATTACACAAAAGCGATTGGTATGTCTCCTACTTTTATTTTCAGCAACTTATATTGGTCACTGACGTCATTTCCGTGTTTTGTATTGTACCATTCTTATTATCATGCGAATGGACGATGCAAAGTGTGCATGGAAGCAGAGTCCAGAAAAGTTGCTAACCTTCCTCCAGACAAAAACATCCTAAAAGACAAACCTTCCTCACAAAGTAATATAAAGTGGGCGTGGCTAAGGTGTGTCACAGGAGCTTCTATTGTTTTTCGTGGACCTTCCTCTGATCAGTGGCCGAGTGATGTTTTCCTGACTCTGGATGGAAGTTAATAAAGGTTGCCTGATAGCTTAGAAAAGGGCCTATGAGAGAACAATGAATAGGTTGTAAAATTTAATTGAAAATATTGGCTTAAAAAAGGCCTTAAAAAAGAACAATAAAAAGGTTGTAAAATTCATGGGTAAGGTGCAACGTGGAAGTTTGATAAAACATGTGTTTTATTTTATCAACTATGGAGACGCCCCTTTGACGCGTTTAGTTACTGCTAATTCTTTTTCTATATGGAGCGCAAAAATATTATCTGATTTTTATTTTATCAAGGCTTGTTATCCGGATGCTGTTATCATGAAATAATTTCTTCCGTAAGCTTATTTCTTGCGATTGTACAAAGAGAAAAAACATTCTTTTGATTTGAAACGTGATAAGTAAAGTTTGTGTTCTATAACATACAAATGTTGTTACAAAAATTTTTCATCGGCGATAATTAGGCACCCAACTTTGCTTAAGAAAAATTGATCTGATAATCTGTTTAAACTTTAGCAAATGGAAGGAAAGATTTCGTTATTTTGATTTATGGCTATCGTAATCCAATACTGCAAAGATAATCTGGTGATAACTTAGCTTTTTTACATATCAATCCCAACTTTAAAACTTTAGGCAAGAATCGGATTATATTAAGCAGGACTTGTATTGTTACATTAATCAAGGTTAGTTGGTCGTGATACAGGCTGAAATTTTACGTTTATAATCAATTATAATCATAGCGGGACACCGTAGACCACGTTTAATTATGTCGACAGCAGTTATCATTTGTTTTATTTTTTCAATGATTTCTTTCCAAATTTATGTTATATTGGTTCTGAGTAAGTCAAAAAGACAACAATGTGATTTATATGTCGAATTAAGAATAATTAAACGATAATAGTTATTAAGACATTTTTACTTTTTCATGAAGCGAAATCTTGGCCAATGTCTGAGGCTAACATTTGCAAATTAAATTGAAGACATTAGAAAGTCCTATTTTCAAATAGCGAAGAAATAAACAGGGAGCTGCAGACTGTAACAAAGAATTCCCGTCTGTTTGTTTTTATGGAGAACTTAGACCTCACATGGGTGTATAGTTGAAGCAATTGACGAGACGGCAATGGAGTATTGCAGTCCATCATTCAAAGTTTCGATGAATATCTATAACTTATTATCATAACATAACCACCCAAGAAACGAAACACAAAAGTTTCCAGTTTCTTAAAGAAGGTAGAGCGATATGTACTGATTTGTTTGGTTTTGTGTTTCAGCAATATTGAAATAACAACGGCAGCGAAAATTTCTAATAGTATTCCCAGTTTTTCGTCGACAAGTTTGTTGAAATATCCTTGTTAACTCTAAGAACTTTTTGAATAGTTTTTCAATTTTTTTTAGACATCTGGGCCATTGGCTGCATCTTTGCTGAGCTACTGACGTCTGAGCCCATTTTTCACTGCCGTCAAGAAGATATTAAAACCACCACCCCGTATAATAAAGACCAGCTTGACCGAATATTTACCGTCATGGGATTTCCTTCAGGTTCGTCAAAATATACGTCAATTTCTTAACGCTCTGTTAGAGGAAATCCTCGCAAAGATACTTGCTATATCACAAGCATTGACTAGTACCTCAAGTTATCTGCGCCGTTGCACCCCCGCCCCCCCCCTCCTCACTCTTAGTGAAAATTTTGCAATTTTCTATCCTATTCAGAATCTTTAGTGGCAAGCATAAACTATTGAATTAAAGCAACACCACAGTCATTTTTTATGCAACTCGTCATTGTTAGACACCCTGGTAGCATGATTATTTTCAGAGTAGATAACTTCTTTTGTATACATGACAACATTTTATTCTCTGTGGAGTTTCGGATTCAAAATACTTCCAGTATGCAAAAATATACCCCACCTTTTCCGTTTGGCAATTATTAAAACCTTTAAGGAGCTTGAAATGTTCATTCAAGTTCTGCAGTTTTAAGAACCTGCTGTTAGGGAACTTGTTTTCCAGTGACTGAGTCACACCCCCTTTTCCTTTTGATCAGAGTAAATACAACACGATCTATTTGACTCCACACTGGGGAATGATTCTGCCATGACGTCACTGCTATGACTCTGGCGTGACATAACCCTCAATATTCTGCAATATACGCACTGTGAACATTGGTCGTGATGGCCTTTCTTTCACCTCCAGCAGCTATTTTCTGTAGCACCTCCTCTTTGTGAGAGCGAACAGGTGTATCACAAACATAATACTTCTAAGTTCTTTGTAGTATCAGAAGTAAATTAGGAAAATAATAGAGGAGTTCGCTAAAGGATTCTCGCTAATATTTAATCATGTCCATGTTTACTTAAGCGATGAATCTTTTGCATTTAATTGTATATTGTTGAAAAATCTCGCTAATGTGGGTTCTTATTGTTTCATACTTGCTTTTTCTCCAAAGAAAATTGTCCTTTTAATGCATGTTTAATCCTAAATGGCAGAAAACTTCAAGCCCAGATTAAGAGTTCTGCATTTTAATTTAATAACAATTGGCTAATGACATTCATAAGTGGTTCTTCTTGCATTGACATGTGCAGCTGTGTTCATATAGATTACATACTTATCTTTTTGCTTCGAATCCTTGTGACAAATACCTAGAGTTATGCCATTTTGCAGGTATTTTTATGCTATGGTTGGTTCATTTTTACAATTGGATGCCTCCTACTATCAATTTCTCTTCTGCAACCAAATATTGTTTATTTGACTTTTGGAATGTGTCAATTATTATTATCATTACATTTATTTCATCACTACATACTTGTTCAAAGGTTCTTCTATCATAAATCATTTTGAATTTATTTTTCTGTACTTCACCAAAACAAATTTTTGGATAAATAAATTTCTGTACTGCAACCTCCCAGTATTTAGTTCGCTTGCTATTTTGTATCCATCCCTAACTCTTTGTCTGCATTAACTTCCATTCCGGGAATGTTGGGATTGATAACGAATGAAATTTTGCAACAAAATCAATTAGTTGTGTAATAGAGATACAATAGATCCTCTATCTAAAGACCTGCGTGTTAATATAATTATTGCTATTCAAGAAAGGGTCGTTAAAAAGAGGGTGTCGTTAATAAATTGTTAAGACGATTAAGGCATTTGCTCAATTTTTAAGGAGATAAAGAATGGAGGATGCTAGCATTCCTCTTCATCATCATCAGGTACCATCTTCTATCAGAAGGTTCGCTACCATGACCCTGTAACTATCCCTATCCTCAGAATATCAAAATCTGAGTTTTGGTTAGTTGTCATGGTCATAGATAAAACTAAGGGGCTAATAGTAGAGATGGGCCCCCAGAACCACATCTACAGTGTTTTTAAAGGGACACCATCCCTCTTTCCAGGAGTTCTTCCGCCCTAAGCCGTTGACCCTGGAGTCGTAGCTCATCTCCCCTTCTTGCCGGTCTCCCCCCGAGTTAGCCGTTGGCCATCGCTCGTAGCCCTGAGCTAGGGAACCCTGCCAGGTGGTACCAGTCGGGTCAGGCTGGACCGATTCCTCTTCACTTCCCCATATTTCTCATACGCGTCTCTTCCATTTATTATTTCTCCACAACAAAGTGTTTAATAGAGTCACTGAAAGATAGCGAAGTAAATTGTCATTATTAACCAATATTCACCTTTCTAACGACAACTAATCAGATTTATTGATACTTTTTTTATACCAGACGTAGAAATCGCGAGGTGTAGTCACATCGAGAGGAAGGACCAGGACACTGCTTGATAAGCATAAGTTTCTCGGTGTCCTAAAAAATACCTTCGGATGCTAGGTAGAAACAAGTACAAACTCAAGTATTTTTTTTCTGTTTTAGAAAAAGACTGGGAAGATATAAGAAAAATGCCTGAACACAGCACTCTAATGAAAGATTTTAAAAAGAGCAAGTAAGCAATGATTTTAATCAGTTACTGTATTTATTCCATACATCTAACCCTCTACCAAAACACTTCGCTTCTCTGGCTCAATTTGATGGACTCCGCAAGTAAGTCTTTCATACCGTAAAATTTGTAGATGGCTGGAAAGAAGTGTATGATATAGCATACTTGAGTGCTGCTCATTCGACGCCACCCAGAATTTGAAGGTCGTGTATTGGCTGAAGGTAAACAGCAGTTTACATTGAGATACGCATCGAAAGTAACTCGATTACCTGGTACTCGGTGGAACCTTAAATGAGCTAAGAATGTAGCTGCCTCTCTCAATCCCACAACTCTTCCTTCCTCCCTATTATTTTTACAAAAACATTCCTTTCTAAATTTCTTTGAAACAATTTCAGTACACTGAGACTTGCTGATTCTAGACAATTCTTTAATCTTAAATGATTAACCTTGCCAGACCAAACGTTTCTTTCAATTTTTCAACATGCTCTAATTTTACTTTTATTTTCAACTCTCACAAGAACCTTCTTTTCTTCCTCCCTAGATCTTGTAAATTTTGTAATGTTCTACCCCCATGAGCATAAAAAACTTGATATTTCCTCTCTCGCTTTCCAATCCTTTCTCCCTTTTCCTTGGAAGGACCTACTTATAGGCTCATGAGCCTTTCCCTAACATCATCAACTATAAAAAAACTAGATGGTTTTTTAAACAATAGAAAATATCGATTATTGTTCAAGAGATAGATGAAGCACTGAACAGCTGTGATTCGTCGCGCATACTTAACTGTGTTCGCTTTATTCTCATTGATAAAGCAAACGGCTGTACACTGTATATTTTTTCGTAAAGACAAAATAAAAATAGTGTTTTTGAAACATTTTCTGTCCAATGTATGGACGACACACATTTCTATAGGCACAGCTTTTTTGTGCAGCTATAAGCTATGGTCTGTAATTTTCTTTTGCAATATGCAGAAAATTGTCTCTGCGTGTGGTTATTACGTCAGAAACGAGCCTGCTGGCCTCAGGGGCTCGTTAGTAACTGATTATCTGCGATTGGGAGGCGTTGCCTTTGCAAATTGCAACAGCGTTAAGAAATCTGATCAGGGTGTGAACCAATTTTGCAATGAAAAAATATTGATTATCTGATTTGTTGTTCAATGTCAAGAAAATATTCATAAAGCTAAAATGTGTCCTTTAACAGCCTTCTTCAAAATGTTGACCGTCAATTTTCATTTTGCTTGCTTAATTGAATTTCATGACTTACACCAATGTACCTTAAAGTTCAAGGAAATTCAAGTAGTACATTTGCCTATTACGACAAATTTTCAAAAACTTTTTGCTTGGCTATAAGGGAAAGTCAAGTGGGCCGCAAACGTCGATTTTAAGTTTTTCAAGCTTTCTAGGAAAGTAGGCCTAATTTGTCTCACATGTTGATGAAATTATACGTTCAATGAATGCTTTAGTCAATGCTAAGATTGACAAAATAAGATGTTTTTGATAAATCTATCCCATGCAAGCAGGTGTTTTTCTTAGCCAGCGAACTAAATTAGGCACAACAAGAAGCAATAATGCAAGCGGTCGTATCTCAATGTTATGGAAAACTGAAGCCTCAAAGAAAGCTTTTGATTCCAAGTACCTCCTTGCTGCAACTAATTTTCGATTAGGTATTCGGTCCTTGAACGCTTTTGGTCTTTTGGATTTTCACTAAAGATAAATTATAGTCGAAAATTATTTGTAAGTTGCCGCGTCTGAAGCAAAATTTAAATTGGTAGCAGTGTATGTTGTATATCCATTTGAGCAATTTTGTTGATAACAATACCTCGGAATAATGTTCTGTCATTGATTCTGTTGCCACAAGATATCTGTACTTTATAGCTTACTTTGGTTTACAATTACGAGCTATTAAACAAGGTTTGATTTAACAGAGTAGCTTGTTATAGTCAACTCTCTTCTATCGTTTCAGTTATGCAAACAGCACACTTTCGCGGTATATGGAGAGACACAAAGTTAGGCATGACGGCAGAGCCTTTCAACTGGTATGAATTTCAAATTTTCACGCACAAAACATGTCATAGTCTTGTCATAAACATGTCATAGTCTTGTCAACTGAAATATATTTCTTTTTTGTGGTTATTGCATGAGGCTTTTATGCCTTCAAAATTTTTCATAGATAGCCTTAAATCTTACTATCATGTTTTGTCAGTGTGTAGGTACTGTGGTCAGTGTTTGGCCGGGTTTATTGTCCCATTTTGAAGTTAAGTATGAAACAGACAATCTTGAACATAACTGGCGTTTTGTTAGCCTTGATATGATCTGTATAAAGAAAACCATACATGTTTTTGATTAAGAAGAGCAGGAAGTTGCTTCTTATGAAAGATTTTTATGATTTGTTAGATGACTTTAAAAACATGCCTTAACTGGTTTAATTCATTTTATTTTTTATATAGATTCGATTAAAAGTTACAATAGACTACGAACAAATAACATACAAGACGATAGTGCAGGGAGCATGAAAATACATTGCAACCCAGCACCTATTACATATAATAATACTATATATACTTTACAAAAATTTACAAAAATCACAAAAATTGCATAAAAAGGAAAGAGAATGTCACCGTGAGCCTTCCACGCAAGAAACCCAGAGTGGGACTTAAGTGGACCAGGATCTTGTTAAACAAGGGGTATCTTGTACCAAGAATTTGTCTACCTGAGGTTGCTCTTGAATATTGGTCCTTAGCAAGGGTCCGCAGAGGATTCGATGCGCGGAGAGCTCACAGTTCTTTTATGATGACGTAAAGATGGCATAGGCTCAATCAAAGCGTTCCGTGGCATATTTGTATTTTAATGTAGCCTCGAGGATCATAGTGTTTGACATAGGTGGCAACCTTTCATCACCATTGAGAAGGATTTTTAGAAGCGCTTGATTTGAAAGGTTTAATAAGCCCTGAGATTGTAATATATTATTAGCAGTATCGAGAAGATCCTTTCTTTGCACATCGTAGTTACGGCAGAGCAGCAAAACGTGTTCCGTATTCTCAACTCCATCGTTTTTTTGGGCACATTGGATTTACTGTGTTTTTAAAGATATGCGCAAATTTGTGAAGATTTAGCTTACTTAGACTCACACGAAGTTGTGTTAGAATTGCTAAGCCTTTCGGTTCGTGAATGCTGTAGACTGGGTGGGGTACGGGACGAATGAGTTTTAAAAGTTTTGAAAATTCCCAGAGTTGAAGATTATCTTAACTCCGGGTCAAGTTTATTCCATTCCGAAAGACAGTTAGGGTAAAAACTTACTGACATACTGGTTTGATTAACCTTTTTAAGATCCTTACTTAGAAAAAGACGTCTTCACAACAGTTTTTCCCTTTGATTTTGCTTTTAGCTGTCAAAACTTCTTGTTATGGATCCAACGAATCGAATAAACGCGGAAGAAACACTGAAAGACTCTTATTTCCAAGAAGAACCCTTGCCAACGCAAGAGTAAGTTTTGTTCATTCTCTTGTTACCTTTATGAGCTGCCTCAAGTCATACTGTAGATTGTAACATGTACTCGACAGGTATCGTTTCCCGTCAAGATTAAGAAATCATCTAATTGATACCCTGTTTTATTCTAACGCCATGCAATTTTAGAAAATTTCACCATAAGTCATTTTTGATCAGTGTCATTCTACTTACAGCGTTTTTTGTGGAATGCCAATACCTTATCCAAACCGCGAGTTCTTGACAGATGATGACAACGAGGAGAAGTCAGCAAAGGTATTTATCCAATGCACAGTTAACTATACGAATATACCTAACCAAAAGAAAATTCTTTGTTTTTGCTGTAAAAGCCTGGTACGGTTAATCTGGGGCTGAAAAAACTGCTTGTGCCTGCGAACGTCATTCACCAAATGTGCATAATGTTTTTTTAAGGTTTGCTACTGCATCTCACAATTACCTTTTTATAAAGCCTGTCTGCCACTGCATTGTGCCAGGGAATGGCCTACCAATTACCTATAAACAACAGCAGACTGTGACTCAGTTAATACGTGTCTCTGTGATATGTAAATCTCTCTGTGTTGTGCATTTAACACGAAATGAGAGTAGGGTGAACCTAATACATATGAGATATATCGCTCAGAACACATATGAATGTTTTCATGGTGCCCTGTACAATAAGAAACAAAAATACGATATTTTTTTGGTCCTCGAGTTGCCTATATTTGCAGGAAAAGACTATGTTTGGCTATTCCTTTAACATGGAATCTTAATATATTACATTTAGATCTTAAAATAGCATACATTTGAATTCTATAAAGTACAATTGTTTTAATTTGCCAACCTACAGAGCAGCACGCACAAACCCGGAAGTAGCCCACAGCAACCACCCTCAAAAAGGGTTAAGGTGGTACCGCACAACCAACAGAATCAAGAATATCAGGTGTGCATATGTTACTGTTCATTAGTTTATTATGTGCATTGAGTTTATTATCATTGCTGCCGTCTAAAGATCCGGGCGAACTAGTTCTTATGTAAGAGGCGTTTTATTGCAGAAAATGGTAGAGCCAGAGGCAAATAAGAGCGCACTCTTACGTAATCATGTTTTCAACTCTCGACCAAATCTCTATTTACAATATTCATAGCTTAATTTCATGACTATTAAGTGACGGCGCATGTGTGATGACATATGACATGAGAGTGAACCTATTGCACTAAGGGGGGGGGGGGATGTTGCTTTCAAACTGGAGGGCAAAAGGAAAGGAAGCCTGTTTGAAGGGAGCTTTTGGTGTTTATATTATCATGTTGAAGCTTTGCTACTTTTTAGAGCAAAGAGTACTTATTTTTTCATAACAAAATCAATTAATTTTGATGACGTTTTGTTGAAATATGTGTTAAACTGTTAACTAGCCTCAAACTGTATTTTTTATCTTGACATCAATAATTGACTGGAATTGCAAATTAAATATTTTAATTTTCTTTATACTCTTTCTGCGGTCCTGGTTATGTTTGTCTATGTATGTTAACCTGTGTGTTAGCGCCTGAATTTGCAGTAAATAATTGAAGCAAAAAGGAGCAGTTAAATGCCATATTTTTGCTGTGGGCTTTTCAAATGCTGTATGCAAGCAAAGTACTCTATTAGATCCTGTCTGAACAGTGTTTGTGCTGATTGTTTTACGCCAAACGCCTTCTGATATCACTATTTACAAGGAAATAATTGGCAGTTCAAAACCTCTTGAATTTCCCAATTTACAAGTGAACAGTTTATTATCACATCTTTATGATCCTCTTCGACTTGACCATTACATTTTGATTCCTTCTTCTACAGAAACAGTCTTATTACCAGAGATCCGATGCTAGCCAACACCAACAAACCAGCAAATCACAAGGCTCTTACATGCTCGCTTCATCGTCATCGCATCGACCATCAGCTACAGTCCATTATACCGCTGCTGATAACCCAAGATATTAATCAAAGACCAAGTCAAATCAAAGGTATGTTCTGACTAATCCTGGTGATAAGCATTTCACGAACAATAAATTGTACTCTGTGAGATAGAATTTTGCTACAAATGAATGACTTTTTGACAGTATTACCAGCGCGTTGCCAATGAAATCTCTTTGTTTTAGACAACTTATCATTGTCTCTTTTTGTAAGAAAAAAGGCTTTTATGAAACGGAGAAATCCACCCCCCCCCCCTTCCCTAAGCTCACGTTCCTCTAAGCTCAGAAGATCTCCTGTTCCAAGCCCACGTTTCTTTAAGCTCAGAAGGTCTCCGCTTCCAAGTTCATTTTCGCCTAAGCTCAGAAGATCTCCTTTTCCAAGGTCACGTACCCTAAGCTCAGAAGATCTCCTCTTCCAAGCTCACGTTTCTTTAAGCTCAGAAGGTCTCCGCTTCCAAGTTCATTTTCGCCTAAGCTCAGAAGATCTCCTTTTCCAAGGTCACGTACCCTAAGCTCAGAAGATCTCCTCTTCCAAGCTCACGTTTCTTTAAGCTCAGAAGGTCTCCGCTTCCAAGTTCAGTTTCGCCTAAGCTCAGAAGATCTCCTCTTCCAAGCTCACGTTTCTTTAAGCTCAGAAGGTCTCCGCTTCCAAGTTCACTTTCGCCTAAGCTCAGAAGATCTCCTCTTCCAAGCTCACGTTTCTTTAAGCTCAGAAGGTCTCCGCTTCCAAGTTCACTTTCGCCTAAGCTCAGAAGATCTCCTCTTCCAAGCTCACGTTTCTTTAAGCTCAGAAGGTCTCCGCTTCCAAGTTCACTTTCGCCTAAGCTCAGAAGATCTCCTCTTCCAAGCTCACGTTTCTTTAAGCTCAGAAGGTCTCCGCTTCCAAGTTCACTTTCGCCTAAGCTCAGAAGATCTCCTCTTCCAAGCTCACGTTTCTTTAAGCTCAGAAGGTCTCCGCTTCCAAGTTCACTTTCGCCTAAGCTCAGAAGATCTCCTCTTCCAAGCTCACGTTTCTTTAAGCTCAGAAGGTCTCCGCTTCCAAGTTCACTTTCGCCTAAGCTCAGAAGATCTCCTTTTCCAAGGTCACGTTCATAATGAGCCACGTGTGAAGATGTTTTTCTTTGACAATGGTACAGCCAAGAAGGAATGGAAATAAGAAGAAAATAAGAAAGGCAATGGAGGGGAAATGTTGTTAAAAGTAGATGGAAGAGCCGAGGGAAGACTGCAACGCATCCATTACACGTATACCTTAAATCATTTAAAGAACAGGCATAGTTTTGCCAATAATCACGAATGAATATGATAATGGATGCTTATTAGCATGCAGTCTGTAATTCCATTAGTTGCAAATAAAAACGATAAATCTTGGGCCTTAACAATCAAGTGTATGTATAGACATATATTCCTGGACATTTTGGATGTTTGAAGAAAATTTGAGCTGATTGAAGATATTTCATTGTTTTTTGCCTTGACTCTAATATTCTATACTAGTTTTTACAGAAGCCAAATGATTTCTAAATAATAAATTTTATAGTAAGTTTAGCAAAAGGCATATTGCATCTCAGGTGTTCATATAGTAAGTTCACATAAATAGATATTGCATCTCAGGTGAAAATCCCTGCTTTCTTGTAGTGTTTTGTTAAAAGCTAAAGTTCTCTACACAATTTCATATGATTCCCATTTAAAGACAGTCTGTCCTCTCCGTGATTGGCTAATTCTAACTTGAAGCCTCGCCTTCGAAAGGTCTTCCTCTGCTTTTTTAGCATCCGATATTAGTTATTGTGGGTGAACGCGACAAAAAATTCAGGGAAAGTACACTATGGTGGTTCTTCATTCTGATTGGTTATTTGTGCATTAAACTGTGTTTTGCGATTGTGTTTTAAGATGCGGTTATGTTTTGCCTTTTTATTGCTCAAGCAATGTTCTCCTACTTGCAACGTAGTTTCGAATTATTTCTCGAAACCCATTACTCGCACAAGCCTTCCATTGACAGGCACTGTCCTGCGACGTGGCCGTGCTTCGAGTGATTTTACTGTCCTGCGCCTTAGTCTATATTGAGGTTGTTGCTGCAATATGCATTTAAAATGTTGAAACATTGGTGTTCATATAGAAGCAAAATTGCTTTTCCAAAAGACCTTGCTGGGTAGAAAACAGCGTTTACAGTTTCTGGAGCTGCCCATATCACGAATCAGTGTCCAAATGCAATAGGATTGGAAATTAGACACGCCTTTCTATTTTGGAATCGAAAATTAGCTTTCAATCAAAACCAAGCTACAACTGCCTTATCTAATGAAATTCTAGCTTCTTTGTTGACAAGAGCAGCATGGCTTATTTCGGCAATAATCTGAAGGCTTTATTGGCCTGATAACGACAGCTGACTACACGATCATCGCGGTATTTCTTAGCTTTGTTTGTTTACGGTAGATGATCATTTTCAGCTTCATATCGCCATATGGTATTGTTTCTCCTTGTTCAAATTATTCGTTTTTCGAACGTGTGGCAGAGATGGCTAAATAATGCGTCGGCAAACTGTCTCCTAGCTGAACGGCTGTTTTCATATTGGTTTTAATCTTAAACAAATTAGATTTGAATTCTGTTTGAAGCCAGCCTTCTTTGGATCGTGTAAAAATGTATTTGTCTATTGTGTCGATATTTAGGCTACATTAAATCTTTTTTATGCCTCGAATCAAAATTTGTTTATATCAGTAAATTGGACAAAGATATGATATATCCCATATACAATAACAGCTTATAGCAAAATGATAGAATCATTGTTCGTCAATCTGGAGCTATCAGAAAATCCTTTTGTTCTTTTCACCTGTATAATCAAAACATTACTTGGTATGCCCCTTTAAAATTTTTGATTTGCTAGGCTTGCTTTATAATCGTTTCTAAGCGTGTTTATGGTTTCTCAGTGTGCAATCCTGGTTTATTTTTTAAGCATCTTTAAAACCTGATAAGGCATCGGAAACTTAAAACCTGGCACACCGCGCAAATTTAAATCTGTTTAATGAAATGTTAAGCTGGAAAGTAAGATGTTTTGCCGCCTTATCTGGTTTTGTTTGGTCGTTTTGAGTGTTTGTGAGCAAGTTGCAGTCTATTCCAAAAAGTTTCAGCGCTGTTTAGTGACGTTTAGAACATGTATAGTCGCTTTGCCACAAATAAGACTATGTTGTGCTTTGGCAAGCGCAGTAGCTTTGGGAGTTAAAAGGTTTCCTTTCTCACGTGGTTTCAATTAACTAAACTCTTCGGCACTATTTCCTGATGCATTTCACTGGCCATTTAAATTCCTACTGGTTAGTCTAAACAATAGACCTATTGTTACATATCCTATCGGCTAATCCTCGATGTTTTCTCGATTTTAAACACATTGCATAGCCTATTGTTCAAGGCTCTTGCGCAACCGGCATGCTTTGCGACAATATTTTCAAAATCGGCCTAATATCGTACTGCATGAAAATACAAAATACAATCAATTTTTCAAGATAGCTGCCGCTAAGCGTGCCGGTTGCGCAAGAGCCTTTACCTCTGGACAGTTAACTAATGTGACATAGCTCCTTAATGTGCAAAATTTCCTTTCCCTCTCCGTCTTTCCATCAAACTGCTGCAGCCCTTTTACTTTTTTTGTAGTCCATTGTTATTTGATATTTGCAACAAAACAAACAGAAAACAAATCCAAGCTCTCTCATCTGCACCTTCAACTTTCAGAAAACTCGTCGGTAGAATTAATTTTACAACAAAATATTAATGTTACAAAAGAATTTCTGTCGGTAAAATATGGTTTTGCATCTTTACACCCCCACCCCCCCCCCCCCCAGCGAGAATGGGCACGCGACGCCACTGCTGACATTTCAGAAGAGGTTAATGGAGTCATAGATTCAGAATGGGAACTCCATTAATGAGTTTTCCATGCTTTTTGCAAACCCATGTGCGAATGTATTCAAGGCAAACCAAGTTTGTCATCTGAGAGGAAGCTCACTTAATTAATAAAGACAAATTTTGTGGTGTCGATAGCGAAAGATGCCTCTCTTCACATAATGCAACTAACAAAATGGTGTTTGCATCACAAACCTATTAAGGCAACGATCACATCGTTTGTTATGGCCTATCCAATGGGCCTATCGCTTCTTTCCTGAAACGAGGCTAACCAATCAAAATTTGTTCTCGCATCGAAAAACACAAAAGTTTTCTGCGGATATTTTTCTCTCTGCCCTTCCTCTATTCTGAGGTGAAGTTTCGTGAAACTTAAATCATGTTGTGAAAACTTGAGTCACGTTTATTGCACCACTACTAAACTTTCCACAGCTAGATTAAACAAATGTTAAATTTTTAGTAGAAAGTTTAGTCGTTTTGTCAGGGTTTAATTAAACTACAAGAAGATTGTTCACCCAATGATTCAACCTCTAGAATTTAATGGATGCCTCTGTCTGGTCAAAAAAATATTCTTGCTATTTCATCATTATTTTATCAGATTATGTAGAAAGCTAGAATACAAACTGTAGTTAATGATTGATGTAAAACAAAAGTGGCCAAACCTTGCAAGTAAATGTTTTCCTTAACAATAATAAGAGTAACGCTAATTAATTCACAGTTGTTGCTACGCTTGCCTTGAAAAAATAATCTTGATAAAATTAATATGACAGACAACTTTGTTCTTTTAAAGTTTTTTGCCACCAATTAGTGATAAACCGTCGCCCTGTTTTCTTTTACTCGAGCAACTGTTACCGGTTGCACCAGATAGCCAACCAGCCATTGATTGTGGGCGTATTTGGTAAGGATTCTGAAAATCAATTAGTTATCAATTCAAACTCAATGTGTCGATTAACCAAAGTATCTAAACAACTCAATAATGTCATTTTCTCTTAACTCTGTTTGTTATCTCATGGATTCCAGCTTATATGAATCTACCATGTAATTTGATAGCATTGTCTACGGTTAGATGTGGTCTGTAGAGTTCGACCAGGTAGGAGACTGAATTCAATGTCAGTGTCATGCGGAGCTGTCTAGTTTCCATACTGCTCGACCTGATGACGTAATTGTTTTACCCTAACCCTAAACCTAAACCTAACCCTAACCTTAAACCTAAACCTAACCTTAAACCTAACCCTTACCCTAACTCTAACCCCAACCCCAACCCCAACCCTAACCCTAACCCTAACCCCTAACCCTAACCCTAAACATTTACTTAAAATAATTAATCATACTAATTTATGACTATTAATCATGCCTATTTATGACTATCAGGTCGAGCAGTATGGAAACTAGACAATTCCGTGTCATACAGACCAAACTCCAAAATAACAATCGTTTTGGTCCTTCAGTCTCTTTTCCAGTCATCACTCTGTGCTACTGCGTAAGTGACAAGCCCCACGAGGAGTGTAGTTTGCTCTAAACCAATCACCATACTAGTAGCTTGATCTAAACCAATAAAATCACAAAGAACTAAATTCATGTCAGCATTTCAGCTGTCGTAACGACCGTGCATGCAAATGCAATCTTTAGCAAATGCAATCGCACGGTTTTCAGCTATTAAAGCTGCTAGTTTTCGCGACAAATTTTTTCAATACGCGGCCTCTAGAATGGTTGTCGTTGCCTATTTCTGAGTTTTGACAATATCTATAGAGCTTTGTTTTTGAATACACTCTTTCTTATAAGAAGAAGTAAATTGAAGTCCAGGCTGTTCTTTTATTTTCCATTTTATTCCTTATTTGTTCTTATTATATTGGAACTGGCGCCTCTTACCCGTATTCTTAACAAGCAGTCGACAAACGATCCCCGCTTACAGTATTTACGATTCGATATTTCATCTCCTGGCTCTCATTTTTGAATTTAATAAATTCGTGTTTGGAAGCCTAGTTGCCAATCGTAAATGTAGACGGATTATGGTATATAACAAGAGTTCTGCTCTATTTGTTTCACCTGACACTTGTTGCTCTTATATCCCTCATTGAATTGATTCTTCTAAATTACTGTTCTTTGTTACTTTCCCTAAACCTACCCCGTCATTACTACGTGTAAAATTCAACCAGAAAGGCACCTGAAGCTACTAGAATGGGTATTCTGGTCATGTAATTGAGCTGTTATTGACTGTTATTGTTAATAATGCACGTGTCTTTATTTTCCACGGTCTCCCACTAGCAGGTAGGCTGAAATATACTGGCGTGTTATAAAATGCTCCTCGAGGCCTAATCAAAATTTTGTTACTTATATTTAATAATAGAAAAAAGTTACTCTCATAGAAATGATTGATGATTGCAACCGAAAGTTTATATAACGTTTCAAAAGCACCCTACTCACCTGAACTGACTATTTATGCCAAGCATGTTTCAAAAGAAAAATATGGACAGTTATTGTGGATATTCTGAAAAATGTGATACTGTAGTACTCGAAACAAAAAAAATTGAATTTTTTTTAAATTCACAACTGCGTAATTCTGTCCCTGCGATTGGTTGGTTGGCGTACAAGTTGAAACAATATTTCTCCACCAACTTCAAAAGTGGCTTACCTTTTTGAAAAAAATTAAACATGCGGCCCTCAATGTTAAATTGAAAGAAATTACAGTTTAAATTAAGAGTAATCAAGAACATGTTACTGCAAAAAAGTAGACTACTCGCTGTCCACCTTTGTTCCTTTTAAAAAGATGGTGTAACTTTCAACCTCCCCCTTAAGTTTTTAAAGGCTATTCTGTTTTTGCTTTGCTACAAAGTGTTTAACGTACCACTCTAGCTGGTTTTGTAGTCAAGGCAACAATGAAGATTTTCCGTAAAAATATAGACTTCAGATTTGATTTTATGTTTAGAAAGCGAGCCACCCACAACACTTGTGTTCAGCAAGCTCTGTGGTGTGTGTGCGGCGACTAATGCCAACCCCTAAAACAATATATGAGACGAAATAATTTCATGAATAGCTGGTACCCTATTGTGTACCTGCACATAGAAAATATGATTTTGTCTCAACCTGCACGTGCCTGCTCTGTTTTTGCTTTGTAGGAAAAATAGCTCTCCTAGAAATACTCTCATTCATGCGTAGCGCTGGGCACTGTGTCGGTGTGCACACATCCTCTTTATTAGATTAACCGATTTCGGCACAAGATTGTCGATGTGAAGTAATTATTTATGTATCGGCTCCTTTGTTTGATTGAGAATACAGCGATTTATGTTTAAATGAATTCGCTGGATTATAAGATAACCACTTGCTCGATGAACACCATTGATTGTCCTCAGTGTCATACTGCTGCTGTAATCTTCATATTCTATCTTCAGAATGCGAGAATAGTTGTTTCCTTCCGTTCAACATAGGCGATTGATCGATTGAATTGTCAGCGGTGCCGTCTAGAAGCCACACCCAAGACCACACCCTATAAACTTGCATTTGTGCAAAATATTTTCTGTTGTGTATTAAGTCATTTACCGACTATAAAAGGCTAATAGTATTTGTTCATTCATGGCGCACAGGCAATAGCACGCTAATGGGTTTATTCACATTGTCAAGTAAGGAAATCGTCCAACAAAATATATACTGGCGTGAAACCAAATATACCACGGTACCACTGTATATAGTCCCATATCTAGCCTCAGGCCCATCCCTTCCATACCTCCCTCTTTCTGCGCATCTCCTGGTCAATTTCGCCTGCGCACTTTTTGCGCTTATCACGCTTGCGCATCTTTCGGCCCATTCTGCTGGCTCAACTTTAGAACAAGTCAGTGATCTGGTCGCTTGAGCATGGGATCTCTCTTGGTGTTTTTTAGTAGAATTTATATCACAATCAGTTTCAGTTCATGTTCTCTTTTCTAATCACGTGCGCCGCACCCTTGGTTGCTACGTATTCGCACTATTTTTATAAAAATTTGTATAGTTGTAAAAAGGGCCCAGCTCTGGTTTTTAATGAACAAGCAAGTGCGCGTATATTTTTGCGACCATTCAGTTTCTCGAAAGCGTCATTCGCGGATTTCTATCGCCTTTTTCATCCGGCTCGGTGGACCACAAACTCAAATTTTCTGTTGCCATGATCGTTATGGATCCTTGCTTCATTCATATTCCAGCAGCAAACACAGAATACTAGTTTTAATTGCCCATGAATTCGAAACTGTTTCAAACACTTCAACAAAAGTAGTTTTTTGGGCGAATTCAGTTCTAACCACGCTTTAAAACAACGCTTTCATTGTAAGGTGCTCAAGATTTGACAATAGTCAGAGGGAGAAAGTAAATTGTATCATGTGACTGAAATTTCTTAATTTCTTGTTCATCGAGTTTCTGTTTCAATTGAAAAAGTTCAACTTTAAAAGAACCTTTTGCTAAAGAGAACATTTCTTTTTTCTCCTCTATCTTCAATTTCTCTTTATTTTCCTTAATTTCACTTTTAATTTGGTTTCTGATTGCAATTTAAATGTATAGTATTGAAAGATAAAATTTTGTCTATATTTTGTATTGAACTTGCAGTATGCTTAGAAATAAATGAATTTGTGAAGCAGTAAATATTATGTATCACTCTACTTAATAACATTTTATACCATACTATATTGATTTTGCTTTCCCATATTATTTTTTCCCATATTATAATGTTTACTATATTGCAATTTATGTGAAGGCCTAAAGTAAGGAATTTCTTATTCATTAATTAATTCAGAAAACGTCGTTTCATATGCTCCAAAACCATCAAAATCCTTATTTTTTTAAGAGCAAATGCACTTGAAAATTTGCTTTTAGAATTTGCATTCATCAGCTTGAGATATTTCGATAGGATTCTGAGATGGCCAAAAGCCGGCTGGACGTCAGAATAGCGCTGTCAGGCCTCTTTCTTATACTGAATATTTACATTTCCAAAAGGTGAGATACGAGCTATTAGGAGCATGCAAGGTTTATGCACTGTTCAATTAGATTGTGTTTATTCACAGAAAGCAGATTTGTAGCTTCATAAAAGAATCTCTGTGAGAATCAGTAAGGGTCTGAAAGAAGAATAAGCACGCAAGACATAAATTTTTAATGTTAATTAGCCTTTGCCCTTCCAAATCACCGTCCTAACAAAAAGGATAAGAAATGAGATTATGTCTTGTATCATATATCAGGACGCGGATCGTTTTCTTGAATGTTTCTTATGCGATTACGCATAAAAGAGCAAATGTTCGTTTCTTGATTTCTCGGGTCACAACATTGTAAGGATTGGGGTCATTTTGATTTTTATCCGGGTTATTCACAAGATTGGCATGCTCACTGTTAAGGCTCTGCCCTTCATTTCTATTTAGTCAACTGCAAGCTTTTTATGCGCTAACGTCGTAATATACATTCTGAAACTTTAGCCTTGCAATAAGTTGGCTTTCTGAGCTTGTCTCTCTCTCTTTCTAGTTATATCAAAGACATCTTTTTGCAAATAAAACATCTTGGCTGTTTGACAATTAACCTTTTAAGGATATCGATTTGAAGAGCTTAATGTTACGCTGATTTGTTACTATCTAATTAACAATAGAAATACTTGAAAGAGAACTCTGGAATAAGGTCTTATACTTTTTACGGCAATGCTCGGAGAGGTTTTACAAGGTAACAAAAAGAAGTAATGCTGTACTGCAACGTTGGGGTAATTATAGGTCCAGTTCTAAAAATAGATAAATTTCAATTCAGTCTGTATGAAGGATTTTGCTGTATTGAACGAAATAATGAATAATCGTTTTCATTTCGATTGACTTCCTATTTTTACATTGGTACCTGCTGACTTTTTAAGTCCAAGCATCCCGTGGTATCTTATTCATCTTTATAATTAGGAGCCTCGATTTGAATCTGGAGAAACATTTGCGAGGCAAACCAATCTTGCAGAACGGAAGATCTCGTCATTGAAATAAGAATGTCACCACATTGAGCTACTTGTAGGTTTTTACTCTTGTTTTAACAGGTGTGTAGTGTATAAAACGACCTCATGGGGCTTATGCGAAAAAACTTCAATAGTCATAAGAAGAAAAGTGTTACTTTTAGGTTTCAACAAATAGGCCCCTGAGCCCGTGAGATTTAAACCCTTGCTTGCTACCATCGATAATTTATGGTCGCATCGCCAAGCCATAACTGTGTTCGCCCAAGCACTCTCTGCTTTCCTTGTATTATTTAGTGGCCTACAGGGTCGTCGCTACGATGGGGCGTAGGGATGTGACTATCCCATAATAGATTGCGACGGGACTTGGTGTCATACGATGAGAAGCTATTCTGTTTATTTTGTTCTGGGGGTTTTTATCGTGTCTTGAAAGGTTCTTTAGTTCTGTCTAATGCACAGAAACCCAGAGTTTATGATATCAATCAGCGTAACTGATAGCATACTGTATGCTGCGGTGTCTCCTTGTTACAACAGGGCTTGCATATTACTGATTCTTGTTTAGAATGAAAACATAATTTTTCTCAACAATAGGCTCTTTTGTCATCTGGCAACCTCTGCGAAGCCTCTTTGAGGAAATAGCCTAAATTTTTCGTACAAAACTAATTATTTACCAGCTTAGCATAAATCTCTTAATTTTTTTTATTGCATTCCTAAAGTCCTCCTAATATCTTATTTCTAATGATATGTTTTTAATTGTGGGTCTAAATAGTAAAGCTGCTTTCCAACAAATCTAATTGACATAAACAATATTTCAGAACAAAAATCGTCCTTAGTGTTTCCAGCTGCATTTAAATCATCTTCATCAGTCCACACAAGAGCAGTTTTTGCGCAGAAGACAAGAAGGCCCAAAATCGTTTCGACTATTGAAAAATAAGAACATCGAGCATCGAAAAAATTTTCTGGTTCTAAAAATAAATAGTTTGTTTCAAAATGAAGTTACTAGGGGCGATCTTTGACTTCTTTCAGAAAATAAATCTTCAAATCGTTTAGACTATTGAAAAATAAGAACATCGAGCCTCGAAAACATTTTCTGGTTCTAGAAATAAATAGTTTGTTTCAAAATGAAGTTACTAGGGGCGATCTTTGACTTCTTTCAGAAAATAAATCTTCAAATCGTTTAGACTATTGAAAAATAAGAACATCGAGCCTCGAAAACATTTTCTGGTTCTAGAAATAAATAGTTTGTTTCAAAATGAAGTTACTAGGGGCGATCTTTGACTTCTTTCAGAAAATAGATCTTCAAATCGTTTAGACTATTGAAAAATAAGCACATCGAGCCTCGAAAACATTTTCTGGTTCTAGAAATAAATAGTTTGTTTCAAAATGAAGTTACTAGGGGCGATCTTTGACTTCTTTCACAAAATAAATCTACAAAATTAGCCAGAGTACGCTTTTTACTTAATGGGAACCCTCAAACCCTCCTGCCAGTTTGTCGATAATCACACTTGCTCCCTTGAACCCTTTGCCCCTTTGCTTCCTTGCACCCCTGCCCCCTAGTTTCGTAGATTGCTATTTGGGTATCATGCTTTCTTTAGTTTTCTGCATGGATACTCTGTTTTACCACTCATTTTATCATTGCAAAGTGGTGTCACTCCATCTTATTCGTGCTCAATATAAACGTTGTTTTTAAGCTAAAGCAGCTGCCCTGATAGATTTGACGTCGCTTCATTTGTAAAAGCCAATCTCTGCTGGTAATGGACAAATTTGTATTCCTGAAAGTGCCAAATTTAGTCCTTTCAGACAATAGCTTAGTTGTAAGGCTATGGTCTGTCATTCAGAACTTTGGCAAGTAAAGGTCATTGTTGGTTTTTAATTTCATCAAAAGCTGGACATGCCGGAGCATGCAAATATAGTTTGTCTGTTTTCGGTGGTATGCACATAAAAGTTGGCTTTGCGCAAATATATTTGAAAGTCCTTTTCTTCTGACAGTGGGTGCCGTCAGAGCCCGGAGTGTTTTTCTCCGCTAATGTCACAACTACCATGATGCCTTGCGAGCTTATGATATATTGACCAGTAAAATTTTGCAGAATCTTGTGATGTTGGACTCTTCAGTAACCATGTTTGTTCATTGGGATAAGTGGGTGCTACAGAATACAACCAACTGTAAAAAGGTGCAACATTCAAAATGTCACCATAAATAGGTCCTTATTTAGTAGGTTCACTTTTAGCAATTTAAAATATCCCAGCGTACCTCTGTATTAAAACCAGTATGCACTTTTCGCCCTCATTTGTTTGTTTGTGCAATATGGTATATACCGTAGCTTATACAGTGAACATCGTTAATAGTTTAAAAGGCAGCACTGCCATTACACTATGTATTTTTGTGGTATTGCAGCTATTTCAGCAGCTTGAAATGTAAAGCGATGTAGTACTCATGTCTAACAATATCTTATACCTGAGCAATCGAGGAATGTTATTATGCACGTTGGTGATAATGATCTGATAGTCAAGTCAGGTCGGTTGTACAATGTTACGCGAACAAGACTATCAGGCAAAAATGCATTAAATTATAGGCCGTTGACCATTCTATCTCTAGCTTAAAAGATTCCCCAGAATGTTTGCTTAATTCCACGTTGGAGTAGTGAAAAGATGATTTGAATTGTATTTGTATCCACCATTGTTGTTTTCCGCCTAGTGATTTAAATCACAGTGATTTCGCAATCTTTGGGTGAGAAATACCAATATCTTCTAGATAAAGCTGTTCCAATTTCCGAAAAGTACTTTTACCTATATCCGTGATCGTCATATCTGGATATCGCTGATTCCAGCGACTTCATGAAGCTAATCACAGTACTGGTGGTCTCCAAAGCACTTATAACCGAACACAGGGCTGCAAAGGTTTTCGATGTGTGCCATTTCAGAAATTCTTATAAACCTTTCCACCTAATTACGTCATGCCGCTATGCACTGGAAAATTTTTTTTTCTTTAGAAAGGAGTTTTTTTTATCAAAGTTGTCGTTTTTTGCGTTGAAAGAAATATCCAGTAAGCAGTTGTTCGCTCGTTATGTTCCAATTACTTGAGTCGGATGCCTTTTCATGTGAAATTCTAATGAGCACGCGTGCTGCCTCAATACATTTTATTGTAAAGGCAAATCCCAGAAAGATCGGTTTACTGTGAACAAATAAAGAGATCAATAAGCTCTATTCTTTTGTGTCCGTTTTTCGATATGCAAACACGAATATGGATTTGTTTTCCATTTAACCATCGCTTAATTTTAATCAGAGCCGTTAATAATTCCTGGCCTTGTAAATAGCCTTCAAATGTGGCATAGGAGCTTGTCCAGTTAAAATTAACATTTTACAGCACTATTTAAATCTTTGATGAAAAATTGCCATATTTGTTTAATGATGCAAGGTGCCCCCGATATGCTTATAGCAATCAGATAAACTGAAGATATCATCCATACAATTTTTTGCAAACTTCGTAAATTGTTAAGATCTACCACAGAAAGGTTAAACTTTCTTTACAGACAGACTGTTTCGTTATTTGTTGATACCATGCCTACCAAATACACTGAACGGTCATCCGGGCAGCTTACTTCATCATCCCATCTCTCCCAAGAAAACAATGAAATGAAATAATCAAGAAGCTTGATTACAACAGCCATCTTTTAAATGTTGTTTTATTTGAAAAGCAACTTATAGGAATGGACACTGTCTAATAGACACCCCAATTGGTACTGTATCCGAGGTACTATGATGATATGATGAAAAGGATGGGTGTAGTCTTACGATGAAAGCTATGAACAAGTAAGAAAATGAGCTTGAATCTGCATCGCCGTCTCCCAACTGATGCTAGCTTATTAACAGCTTCCTCTTTAAACATATTGTGCCGTGTTTGCTTATCAAGAATGAACGAATTTTACTCAACACTTCGATAAGGTGTTTTCGAAATGCATTTATATGGGCAGCTCATGAATTGTGTTGCAAAATTTCTACCAGTTTAACAAGGAAGATGCAAAAAGGGAGACGTCTTGGTCATTAGGGGACATGTGCCATGGAATCTAGTTGCACGTTGCTTTCTTATTGTATTCTACCCAGCTTATAGGATTTCTTACTTTACCTAACTGTGTCTCATTATCGTTAACCACAAAGGCATTGTTCATAAATTTAGCCTTTTTTAAACAGCACACAGGAAATAACGAAATCATTCCCTGTCTCAAAAGCGCCTGCCTTTCTCTCTATGCACAGTTAATGCAAATTGTTCACAACGGCCGAATATGCTTTTAAACTTGTAAATAGATGTTTTCACGCAACAAGCTTTGTTTAATCTTTGTATTGTTCGCTTGTTTCAATGAGTGAATCTCACTTGTCGCATACAATGAAAACGCTCTCTAAAGGCCACCTGTCCCCAATAAGCGATGTAGATACGGGATTCTGGAAGCCAGTAGTGGTGGAAAACCCAGACCGGACCTCTAGAAATCCAGCCATTTCCACAATTTTATTTTGTTTTAACGCTTTGCTGGTTCTTGTTGGCACATAATATTGCTGTAAATATCTTAAACCAAGACATTGGAGTCCCTATTTCAACTGCTTAAATCAAAGAGACCAAATTTTTAGTCAAAACTTAAACTAGAAAGACAAGAGGGAATTGTGATAGGAAAATAGAATCTTGCTTTTTGGTGGGCTAGTTTTACTTGTCAAGAATTTGGTTGATTCATGTTCATTTTTCGCTTCTTCAGCTGTGGTATTTTTGCATCCTTATACTCAATACATAGTGGATGCGTGTCTGGATGCAATATTTTACTTTATTTTGGTGCAATCTGCTGCTTTCTGACTTTAGCATTGGCGTTCCCTGAAGGATTGTCATGTTATGGTTATTTCGTGAATATTTTTGCTGAGTTTTTAATTGCATCAGAAACAGCATACGTGTTAGACGATTTTGATTCCCTTTTAAACATTTGGAACTTTAAGATTGGCCAATTTCAACCACTGATATTTGTGTAAATAGAACATTGTTTCTGTTCGTTTCCATTTTTTTCTATTTCTATTCCAGTACCATTTATAACTTCCAAAAATATTCGATCTACCTAAAAATGACAGTTTGTCCAGTTGATAATGCGTTTCAGTCAACTGCAGGATATCAAACTGCGTTTCTTTAAATTGAACCTGCGATCCATACCTTTGTAATACCCTGTCCACTGTTCTGTATTTTCTGATCCATGTAATTACATTCTGCGCTTTCTTATTCGGTCAACTTCCTATTTCCATGATTGCGCATGCGCTTTGTTGATTTACAGGTCTCTTTGTGGTAAGTAATGGATTGATATTGATTGAGTTCACTGATCCATGAACGCAGAGCGTAGTGTGCAACCAAGCTGAGGGGGACTATCAATGGGCTTGCTTACGCTTGGAGTGGCTGGAGTGTTTGGTGTAGTGTGTTAGATTGTTTCCGTTTGGATTCCATCGCGAACTGGCACAGGTATTGGCTTGTAACAAAACACAGTCAGATATGGCCTTAACTTCTAGTTTATCGTGTGTTGACTATTTATCGATCAAATTTGGATGCCAAAGTTTGAGCAGCGAAAAGGAGATCTATAACCACCTTAGCCAAGAATGGTTTTACGGGCCGCTTATAGGAGAGTTTAGCTTTCACGGAAAGCAAGATTCTTGGAACAGCATTTTTCATGATACCAATTTTTCGACTGAAAAGAAACTCGGGACGACTAGAGGATATAAAAATTCCCTTCACAAAAGGCACAAGTTTAGAAGTATCAGAAACAAGGGCATTTCAGAAAGTGTTGGAACATGGAGGGACGAGTGTATATCCGACAAATTTTCGTCAGATACAGAGACCTCGAAGCGCCAAGGAAAAGAAATCCTTGCATCGAAGAGTGAAATGGAAGATGGTAAAAATAATAATAACTTTGTTTCGTTGGAAGATATCGAGAAAGACGCGATGTCAACTTCTGTCGATTGTGATGATGATTATGATGACGATAACCAGAGTGACTCTGAATTAGAACTGCTACAAATTTGTGGTAAAGAGAATATTGCTGAGACTCACAGCATATCGGAGAGCATGGCTACAAATTTCTCAAGAAAAAGATCTTCAACCGAAAGCCTAGTTGAATGTGATAACTTCGCAAAACGTATGCGCCCCTCTCTGGATCTGACAAAAATGCAAAATTCTAGATATTCATCGAATGAAGATTGTGACAGGTTTATTCCGATTGTCTTACCGTCATCTTTATAACAGCTATTTATTACAAGCTTCTATTTTTAGGTTTTATATTCTGTGTAGATTATAAAAAATTCAAAATTATGCAAAGTTAACAAGGTTACCATTTATTCTTGAAATAACCCGCTTCCTAGCCCATCAAGAGGTGGTCTAATATACTTATGAAAGATATCATTCAAGCAAAAACCAAATTGCTCGTAAAATTTCTCATAATGGCGAGAGTCACGAAATATTGATAAACAACCATTGTTAACAGCGTAAATACCTTCTCGTTTTGTGATAAAAGTCATACGACTGTTGTTTCCTATGGAATACTTTACACGATACATAACAAGTCGTTTCGAGCCTTTTGTGACTTTTTAATAATTTTCGCAAATTAAAACTTGCTAATGGCATAGGTTAGGCAGAAAAAATTCCCCTTTTATTTGCGCATTGAAAACTATTTGAATTCGTGATAGTTGTTTCGCCGTTTGGAGGCAGGAAGGGCGTACTTTGCTGTTGTGCTTTGGATTGTTGACGTCACGTTTAGACTTTACAACAGCACGAAGGATTTCGTTTCGAAACAAACTTTAAGTGTGATCAACTTTTTTCCTCAACCTTGATTTCTAGTCACATATCTCTGTTACTCAAAATTGCTTGAGTGTTGAATAAAGTATTAACAAAGTTAGCTTGCATTTAATGTATATAAAAACAAGAAACAATATTTATCATGATCATCCAAACTTCGACAATGGTTTCTGTTTATTGCCTGCCCTTTCCCCTTGCTTACATGATTGATAAGGAGATACTTGACCGATTAGCTGTTCTAAGTCAAAAAACCCTTTGAAAAACATTACTGAGCATCAACGATTTTCTCAGGGATTGAAAAGAGCCCATACAGTTTCCTGTGGGTTTTGAAAAACATCACGTGACTATTCCTTGTAGTTTATCGTGAATAAGTATTCGTGACTTTTGAAGATCAGAAAGATTAAACCAGGTTTATCATTAGCTGTTTTGCTGTTTTTTGTCTTTGATCAGCTACCAGGTGAATGTTTTCCGCGAGACGTACAAAATGCACTTGTTATCCTCAATTCAACAATTGTGCATGAAAGCCCGCAGTTGCGTGGTTCTTCCTTTAAGACCACAGTTGCGCAAATATTGGCACATGTTCCATGCAACATGGTCGGGAAGTTGAAATCCTCCTTGGCTCAACACAGGCAGTTGGAAGTGGGCGGGTCAAGGGGAGGAGTAGAAAAAGAGCATTAGTAAACGCATTCTGCTAAGAAACCCTGAACCCATCCTGACAGCTCCTTTGATGCGGTCCCCGTTGAATAGACAAAGACTCTGGCACTGCTTCGATGTTTTTTCATTGAGCCTAGATTCTTTGTTTTTGTTTGCTTTAAATATCCGGAAAACTTAAAGGTAATAACTTTGGCATTATCCACTTCTTACGGCAGAAATTGGTTTGGCTTTTAATGGAGTCATTTTTCACATGCCCCATGAATAGACTCGAGATATCTTGATAGACTACAATTGTTGACTGGCTTTTTAAACTCCGGATATTGGTCTACAACTCTTCTTCTGGGACTTTCTGTTTATGCTTAGCGCGTCATCGCTTTTCCTCTGCATGTACAGTAAATCCCCGCATATAAGGACCTACAAAAATAAGAACCTAGAGGCTGTTTTTCCTAAATTATGCACCTTGTAATTAAGAAGCTGTTTCAGTGTGATAAAATATAATAGGTTCTTATCCCAAGGGCAAACAATAGAGTTTTCAATGGTCCTTATTTACTCCCAGATTTTTAAAGATGAGGTAAAATCACAATCGGTATCAAAATTTTCAGTTTTGCATTTTTAGCATTTTATACACTTTAACGAAAGAGAACTTTGAAATCACTTTGACTTTTTAACATAATTATATATAGCAAAATGTTGAAAAATGAAATAAAAGCATTAGAGTTCATAATTTTAATTTCCTGAGGACGTATGAGATCATCTCCAGATCCATCCACTGTCATAGGCAGCCAGTGCGCTCAAATGTCTTCCTGTAAATATCTTTGTAATGTTGCATTAATAACATTGCCAAAAGGAAAAAAACAGGGTTGAATGCATCTCTTGATAATGAATCCTAAAATGCTAAGTAAGAGATCCTTCGAATACGAACCTTCATACTCTGAAATCAGCCTGAACCTCAGAAAAGTAGGTTCTTAAATGTGGGGATTTACTGTAATGTAAAAGAAATATATACTGAAAATAAGATTAGATAGATTGCTAGCAAACAAACAATAGAATCTATCGGTCTACTAATTTCAATGGCATGCTAGACAGTGTGTTTGATTTTGGAAGAAAAATGGGCGTGTCCAGTCACTTTTTGCATCAATCCCCTACCAATAAACAGCAACGTTATGAAGATGTATGTCCCTTTTTTCTGGCACGTTTTGCATTGCGCCTGGCGGTGGCAAAATAATTTGAATATTTCGCGATGCTTTTCCTAAGAAAATAGAATAGCTAGGGTTCTAGAAAGGTGAAATCATTCCCTTATTTTGATAGAGAAATAGTGAATTTGTCCGTGCATTGTGTGCAAGGAAGTTACAAGCATTGCTTTGGATTTCTGCCACGGGGCAAAGCAGTTTATGAAGTTGAAAAAGAAAAAGCAGAAGAAGGACTCTGCTATTTATTCAGCAAACTTTGCTCTCTGCACAGAATGCCGATTTACCATAAGGTATATTGAAACAATTGACATTTTGGTTGAGTAAATACATTCAATTTTGATCGTTCAAATTTAGACGTAATGTCAAAAATTCTACTGCAAATCAGAAAAGGACCATTGATTTTTAAACCATTAACCATTTAACACATTTTCTTATCAGTACCCGCCCACTTCAGTCAACAACCATGCTCTAAGGCAAGACATATGTTCATTTTACTTAAAATTTTAGAGACGTACCAAAGGAAATTGAAAGTTTAAAAAATCAATGTTATATCTGGGCAGTGACCCAAGATGAGCTCGAACTTGATTTTGTGGAGGTATTGAAGATCTCCTAGTCGCTTCCAACCTCTGTCAAATGCATGTGGTTCTTGAAAAGATGTTAAATTCATTTTTTTGCTTTGCTTTTTCAATAGTTTCAAGTCGTCTTTTATACACAGATTCGTCTAATCCTTTCTCTTTGATTGAAATTTGGTTCGTTTGTTGCATCTTTGAAAACAATGTTGCATCGTTTGACAAACCACCGAAATTCTGCGTGCAATTCAGTTAGCAAGCAAAGGTTGAACCAAATATTGCACCATTTGGCCAGGGCTTAACTATTAGAAAAACTGGTTTCTTTTCTGATAGAGAGGTATTTAAAGAGTAAAGTTAAAATGTGAATTCAAAAAGTTGTTTCTTCATGCTGAAATTAAAGATATATTGTTAGGAAATAAATCAGAATCTACGCAGTTGATTTTCCCCCTAAATATTTTCAAGTGCAATCTAGACGTTTTAGATAGCTAGTTTATATTTTCTTGTTACTTGATACTTTTTCTCGATGGCTAGTTTATATTATATTTTAACGAGTTAACCATAAAATCAGTGATTGTAACATCAAATTTGGTTCCAAAGAAAACAAGCATGGGAAGTTGCCTAACGCAGGCCGATTTGCCAAAGGTCTACTGCACGCCTTGAGTATGTAGAATGAAAGCAGAGCATTTCAATGTTAGTCCCGTTGCAAGCTTCTATGTAAACTTCTATGAAAACTTGCTTTGAAGACAAGATCTTGCATTAAATTGTTAAGTCAAAGTTAGAAACACGTCATCAAGCAATTATTTTGCAAATTTAACAGACATTTACAGTATGAAATTAAATCATTTAAAGCATAAAAATTTGTTGCAATGTCGTATGGGACCAAGGCTGCCATATTGGTACAGTGTATGCCAAATTTGGCATTTATGACATATTTTGAAGGTCCTTTGTAAATTCTGTGTTTGTCGTGTTTTCTAAATTTAGCATATTTTGGCATATTTCGAATAAATTTGCAGTATTACGCTTTCTTTTCTTATAAACACTCAGGACCTAGAAATCCCACCGCAACTTTTCATAAAAAACCCGTTCTATAAACACAGGATATTTGGTAAAAGCAAAAAAGACAGAAATTTAATAAGACAGATAAAATGACGTAGGCTTCAACACTAAATGAAGATCCCACAGTAACTTTTCAACATTAAAGGCAGTACGTCCCGCAGTTCATTGGTTTATCGAAACAAAGAACAAAATTTATATTTCAGTAAGTTTTCCTTTCGTAACAAAGGACGTCTCTTACTTGCTAGTGATCAGTTGTACTAATTTGCCAAGCTTCTCTAATTTCTAGGACCCTTGAAATTCAACAAACAATTGCCAATGAACAGCGCGACACACTGCTGCAGAATAAATGAAAACAATGATGAAATAGCTGTCATTGACGAATTTGAAACGTAAAAGCTTCCTTTCTCTTTTGATTAATCACTAAATTTCTTAAAACGATAAATTTTTCAAGTTAGAGATAAAAGAGCATCATTTTCTGGTTCTGTGTCTCGAGTTGTCTCAACAAACCTCAAATAACCTTCCACGCAGCCACACATTGCCACTACACATAATTTCTTAAGTTGGCATAATTTTTGCATAATTTTGCATATTTTGTAATTGCATATTTGTAATTTTGGAATCTTTTTAAAAAGCCAAACATAATTAAAGAACAGTCAACTATGAACGACATAACCTACATTCATGAAAATCAGATTAACGAATTGTAGGAGCTCGTAGCCGAAAAACTAACTTTTTAAAAAACCAATACTGTACTTGAGGAATTACTTGTAATTACAAAAAGACAGAGCCCAGAAAACATTACGTTAGATGGCTTTAAGCCGGGGAAAGGTTATCCAACAATTCAATAGTTTTGAGGAAGGCAAATAAATACATTACTTGAAAAAAGTGAGAGGAATTCACTGTTGTGCTTGAAATTTCCTTTGTTCCTGTCAAAGCTCGAAGACCAAACCATAGCTGATTTTACTTAAATCCCATTTCTTAGAGAATTTTATTCAAAAGATACCAAGACAATTTGAGTAAGGCAGATAGGACAAAGTATCACCGGGAAGAAATGCGAAAAAATTCATAGAATTTACGTTAACAAATGCAATCTTTTTTTAATCGCTGCCACACTTAACTTGCTGGCTCTGCAAATCTTAAGAGGCAGTTTCCAATTAGCATCTCTACCAATACGAATGCAAAATCAGTTGAGTATTCTAGCATTTTGGTTTTGCAGGTTGATACTCAATTTTGTGTACTTTTCGGATACATTCTAAAAGATTTCGTTTTGTGTTGTTTGCAGACGCAAATCTTTGTGTTTAGTTTATTTCAAGTTTTGCAGTCCCGACTAAAAGGTATTTGATTTCCACCGTATGACTGTATACTCTCGTTCATTCCTGTGACGTCATTTTGTGAGCTGCTCACGCCAAGGTGCGAGATTAGTGCGAAACTTGTTTGCTTGCAGCTTTTCATTTTACGTCAAGCTGAAATGAATGAATTCGAATACAGCTTCAATTAAGTGACAGTAACGATCAAGTCATATTGTTCTTGCTGCTTTGAAACCTACGCAAAAATGGCCGTGGAATGCTTTTCCTGTTGAGTTGATCATAATTAGATAGATAAAGGATCATAATACTGTTTTGAAAGGCGTTAATTGAAAACGCTCTTGTGTAAGCCCCTGAATGGCCAACTGTGTTTTGATTGGTTTCT